TTAATTCATTCCCAGTATAGGTGTTAGCAAAAAAGAACCTTCAGCACTCCAGTTTTATATAGTAGTTGTTATTGAGAAACTTGACATGTGTGCATACTATAAATTGTTAATGTTGAAAAATATGTATGCTCATTTTCTGTAGGTGTTTTAGAAAAGTTTCTTAGGCATGTTTCTGTTGTGTTTAGGTGTTAGAGAAACATTTTAGTAATACATTACCTGTAAGTATTAAGACAAAAATCTTTTAGGCATATACCTGTAGCAAACCAATTGTCTTTAGTACCCCTATGGTAACAATTGCTGTGGGGAAAGTAAAGGAATTGCCCCTTGTCATATTAATGTTTTTTCTTCCTTTGCCACATTCATTGTTGTGCTACATTGTGGTCACCCATAATGTGTCAGAAATTCCATATTTCTCTTTAATAAATTTCTCCAGATTCCCTGACTTCTTGTGTTTTCAGTACTTTGCTTTTATTGCTTTTTCCAATACCTTTAAATTCCTGTTTGTTTGCAGTAACCTTCTTCCTTGTCAGAGATTATCATTTCAAAGAGAACAGAGATATATTGTGCATAATAGCTAGTGATGCCTTAATACTGCAAAATATGAAGTTTTGCCACAATTAAAACTTTTTGAAGATTTCTTGTACAGTAGTCGACCCCTTTGAGGGAAATTCATGGAGTGAATGAAAATCAAGGATACAAATAGTTATACTGAAGTATACAGCCTTGGTTCCATTTCTTATTTCAAAATACCAATGACTTTGGTGTCTGATTTTAACTTTGGGACATATATGAACATCAGAGAAGCATTAAGTTTTTCACTTTCTCATGATGGGGTTCTTTGTATTCAAATATTGTTTATAGTTTAGGAACAAATATGTCCTGTTTCATGTAATTATCAGAAACAGATTAACACTGATAAAATTAGTTAGAAAATTTAAATGGTAACTTGAAAAGCAGTTAATAATGTAGTTTAGGATGCAAAAACGAGTAACACATTGGGAGTGTAGTATTGTGCCTGTTAACTCCTCGTTGATATTACATAAACACTTTAATTATGTTTCTATCCTTGTAGGTAAATGTCTTTTTTTTTACCCTTTGGTTCAAATAATTCTTTTTTATTTCATTTCTGACATAAAATTTTTAACTTCATGCAATAAAATTAAAATTAATTGTACATTTAGTTGACACATGTATTGTGCTTGTTGCACTTAGCAGATTTCCTTGATAAATGAATATTATATGAGTTTGTAACTATTGACTTAGTTTACATTTTCATACAAGAATTTGTGCTCACTGAAGTGCATATTATTATAATGGCTAATTTCCAATAAATTCACTACCTAGAAAGGGTATTTATTAGAATGAATTCAGATGATTTTCACTAAAAGTTGTATAGTTTTATTGTGTGCATTATAATACTAATAGACTGTTGTGTATGCTAGAATAGTTTTGCCAATCACTTGTTTGTGTAATCAGCATTGCGAGAGTTAACGCACAATGATAAATCCTTTCAAAGGTCAGTTGAAGGCACTTCATCATTAAAGGGGTTCATTTAATATTATGTTGCCTCTTGTAAGGTCTAGTGTTGCCTATAGTTGATCATACTGTAGTCTGCTCTTAATCTGAATTTGGTGGCTGGTCCTATTTACATTGGCCCTTTCTTGACCCCACTGAGTGCCCCCCCATGGACCTGGCCTTGCTGCCAGAGGTATGTCATAATTAGTACAGTCTTAGCTGAGAGCTTCCCTACACAGTTGGACAGCTGGACAAATTTATGTAAGGAAAAAACAAATGTTCTTTTGTACTATAATTATTGGTTGCTTTTTGCTTTCATATAGCTGGATGTGAGAATCCACTCACTTCTGTATTAATTGGCATATTAATTTAATGATAACTGAAATGCTACTCTAAAGTATTATCTTGATAAACTTCTCCAACTTGTGCATTGGAAGTCCAGCTTAGTCAGGTCACGTAAATATAATTTAGTTAGTTCTTAAGCACTGATATACATCTTCACTTGTCGAAATATTACTGAAGCCTCCGAATCCCTTGGCTGTTAGTGTGATGTACATTTATGTTTCTCATCTTTTATAAGCTATTGGCATGCATTCCTCAGTACTGTATAGCAGTTTGACATTTACATGTTAAATTAATACTCATTTCGTCCAATTCTAATTGCTCAAAGTGTGTTGTTCTTTTTATTCTTGTTTTTCAAGTGATGTTTGATGTTAGTCAGACATCAGTTTGCAATGATATAGATTGCTTTCACTGAGTTAAATGTTACAGTGAGTTCTGAAGAGATGAGTATTTTTGGCTTGTGCATGTAATTAAATATATAGGCTATTTGCACATGATAAATTAACTGTTCATTTCATTTTATATTTCTTTTATAAGTTACAGAAAGTATTTCAGATGAGGCTGCTCAGCGGGCTTTTATGAAAATGAATTAAGTTTGACTCCTGTATCAGGCCATGGCATTTTAGCATGCAACTATAGCAAAGATTTTATTTTTTAATATTGTTTTAGAATTTTTTCTCTCAGTCTTTAGTAAAACTAGGGTAATCTATTTTTATTTGAATTGCTGTACTACTGTACTTTATAATAATCTTCAAGTTATAATGAAAGAATGGACATTAAATTCAACAACATTTAGGGTAGAGAATCTAATTTATAATTGTTTTTGCTATACAAGTTATATACAAGCTTTCTCAGTCTAAAGAGAACACACTTAGGCCTCAGGCACGTATACATGCACAACCAGGCCCCAAGCTGAACTCGGATGGTAGAAAAGCACTCTAAACTGGTCACAGTATAGTTGCTGATAATCTCTTCTAATTTAAGTTATGTTAGAGGTAGGGCAACTTCTAGAAATCCTTTGTTCTGGTCTGATACTTTTGAACCTTGCATAACTTCTGCTTAGGGATGACACCACCTAGTTTTATCTGGTTAATTAATGATTACTGATTTGTTTCAAGTCAAGGTGGGGGGGATATAAGTTCCAGTGTGTTATGAAAATGTAAACTGAATAGCAGCCTATACAGGAAATCTTGTAAATTCTGGAAATACAGTAGTGTTATAATCTTTGGACACACTGAATTGCCATTGAATTTTGTGGTTTTGTAGATATGAAAACCAGAAAGTCTACAGGTCCACGATGTTTTGTGTAGTTTCATATGTCAGTAGGAAGATAAGTGTCCCATCAAGGTTTTCTAAATTTCCATTTTTTTTTTTTTTACACGTTAGAAATGCCTAGGGAATTTTTAGGTGGTGAAGTATCCTTGATAATTTTAAACTTATCAAGAAATGGTGGGAAAAAAAAAAAAATGCTTTAGCTATCCTAATGTCATGATAAGGAAAAATAATGTACGAGGTCTTTGTTAAGGTGTCAGGCATGTTCATACCATGTGCTCAGCACGTTGATATGTTTCCTCTGGATTTTGGTAGTGATTTTTAAGCCATGACTTTGTGCCTTCATTTTGTTACTGGCCAGAATTCTTCAGGACATGTAGCTTATAAGGCCTTGTCTACTACCTTTCATTTTACTTTCTTGCATCTAGGAATCTGCTGTTCCTTCTATTTGCTCTTGTATTGAATGGGAATCAGTGTAAATGAAAAAACGTGATAGCAAACATACCATCCCACCAACATACCATGAGCAAAGTTTCATTGATGAATGGGTTTGTTGAAACTAGTTAGCTGGACCTGAGTTCTGGGAGTGGGAAATACTGTTCCTGCACCCTGAAAGAGGGGTGGAGATGTGGTCAAAGTATTTCAGTTGTGAGGGTCTTGCATTCCTGGCAGGACAGCTTATAAACATGCTAAGGTGTGTGTCCTTGGGTCACTCTTTGATGGGAAATGGCATTTCTGATCTAATAGAGAAAAGCAAAACCACCTAAAACAACATTTGAGCTTTGAAACAGTTTTTATACTGTTTGCAAAGCCAATAAATTCATTGATTATATATTTCGTCCAAAATGTGACATCAATTATGACACTACTACTGGGGTTTGCATGTCTTTTACATTGGCAAGACTTCACAGTCCTAGACATAAATCAAGGAACATAGTTCAATCAAATTGAAATGCATGCCTCTGGTAGAAGAGCTATTAAACAAATAATGCTGATTGTATACTCCTTTGGTTCACCCTACCATGGTGGTAGATGGCCGATGTGATTAAAGTAAAAAGGTGTGCTTGGAGAAACAAGAACATGGATTGCATAAAGCAGTGATCTACATCCCAAGACCTTGTACTGTAACAAAGCTGTATTTATTAAAAAACTGTAAGTGTCCAGAAGCAACAGCTGTTCAAAGATCATAGTGAACAACAAAGGATTATTCTAGACTGCATCGCTTCTTGATTGTAATGGGAAAGATTATCAGCAGCTGTACATCAGACCCTACCAAATATAATCCATAATAAATTGTAATCTCTTTCTCCCACTCTCTTTCATTCCCTGTTTGACAGGGTATGCGTGTGTGCTCTTGTATGTTTTCTGAAGACTTGAGAAAGTGTTTGTAGTGAAACATATCTATATATTGGGTGCTCTACTATATACAGCATTTTGTTTACATATTTGTTGATATTTGGTGCTATTAGAGGGCAAAAGAAAGGATAGCTTAATGGCTGGTAATGACTTTGATGATAATTATATTGGCTAATACTCTGATTTTTTTTTTTCCTTCATTGATCTCTTGTTTTGTTAATCTTCAAATTTATTAGTGGTTACCTAAATAAAAGCTTAACGTTGCTGTTTTTGGCAAATTACATTAACTAGATTTTCCATAATATATAGATATGTACTTACTGTAGGTGAATACTGTATTTAAAAAATTGCACTCACTTGGATTTTGGTGTATTGTCTTAAGTAATTTTGAGATTATTTAATAGTGATCATAAACTGTTTATAATTTAAAATATTTTTGTCCACTCAAGGAATTGACTTTTAATTTTACAATATATTCACAAGTGTGCATTCCTCATGTTTCCTGGCTGTTCCAGGATCAGCGCATTTCCCGGATTAGTGAAGATGATCCTAGTCAAGAAGAATCCTTCTCTGTAACCCCTACTACCGTCAGTAAGTTGATGCTGCTCACTTGATTTTGCTTGATATAGTTCAGGTTTTTGTCAGTATTAGTTTCTTAATTTATACATTGCGTTTCAAGTTTTCCCATTTTATTCCTAGTAGATTGTATGTGGCACTTTGTCTAAATAGTGTTTTTTTTTTTTTAATTTATGGTTAAAAGCTTGAGTATACATTTGGAATCTTTTTTGAACTGAAGCAGATTTGACAAGGCTTTAACATGCCTTGCATAATTAAATTAATACAGTGGAACCTCAAATTTTGAACGTATCGCTTATTGAACTCTTCGAAAATAGACAGCTTTTTTCGAACCAACTTTGTCCCTATTATCGAAATTGCCCCAATTTTCGAACTGCCGGGTACTGGACCTGTCCGCCAACCTGCTCTGTCTGCGTCCCCGTGCAGGCGCCATGAGCCAGTCTGGCTTTGTTGATGCTTGAGTGAACACTAACCTGCAGTCTCATTCAAATATTTTACAATTAATTCATTGTGTTTACGGCTTGTGGGACTGTGAAATAAGCTTCCATGGGCCCAAAGAAACTTGCTAGTGGTACTCCTGTGGTAAAGAAAGTGAGAAACACCATAGATGTGAAGAAGGAAATAATACAGAAGTACGAGAGTGGTGTGCGACGTGTTGAGCTTGCCAGGATGTATGGGAAAAACAAATCGACCATCGCTTCTATCCTGGCAAAGAAAGAAGAAAGCAAGGAAGCTGATGTTGCAAAAGGTGTTAATTTTTTTTTTTTTTTCAACAAGTCGGCCGTCTCCCACCGAGGCAGGGTGACCCAAAAAAGAAAGAAAATCCCCAAAAAGAAAATGCTTTCATTATCATTCAACACTTTCACCACACTCACACATAATCACTGTTTTTGCAGAGGTGCTCAGAATACAACAGTTTAGAAGCATATACGTATAAAGATACACAACATATCCCTCCAAAAGGTGTTAATTTTTTTTTTTTTTTTTTTTTTTTTTTATCACACCGGCCGATTCCCACCAAGGCAGGGTGGCCCGAAAAAGAAAAACTTTCACCATCATTCACTCCATCACTGTCTTGCCAGAAGGGTGCTTTACACTACAGTTTTTAAACTGCAACATTAACACCCCTCCTTCAGAGTGCAGGCACTGTACTTCCCATCTCCAGGACTCAAGTCCGGCCTGCCGGTTTCCCTGAATCCCTTCATAAATGTTACTTTGCTCACACTCCAACAGCACGTCAAGTATTAAAAACCATTTGTCTCCATTCACTCCTATCAAACACGCTCAAGCATGCCTGCTGGAAGTCCAAGCCCCTCGCACACAAAACCTCCTTTACCCCCTCCCTCCAACCCTTCCTAGGCCGACCCCTACCCCGCCTTCCTTCCACTACAGACTGATACACTCTTGAAGTCATTCTGTTTCGCTCCATTCTCTCTACATGTCCGAACCACCTCAACAACCCTTCCTCAGCCCTCTGGACAACAGTTTTGGTAATCCCGCACCTCCTCCTAACTTCCAAACTACGAATTCTCTGCATTATATTCACACCACACATTGCCCTCAGACATGACATCTCCACTGCCTCCAGCCTTCTCCTCGCTGCAACATTCATCACCCACGCTTCACACCCATATAAGAGCGTTAATATGCTAACCAAAAAAAGACCACAGACAATCGATCAGGTTGAGAAGTTGTTGCTGGTGTGGATCAAGGATAAAGAGATAGCAGGTGATAGTGTTTCAGAGACAATTATTTGTGAAAAGGCAAGGAAGTTGCTTGCCGATCTGGTACAGAAAACTCCTGGAACCAGTGCTAATAGTGAATTTAAGGCCAGCAGAGGCTGGTTTGACGGATTTAAGAAGCGTAGTGGCATACACAATGTTGTAAGACATGGTGAGGCAGCCAGTTCAGACAAACAGGCGGCTGAGAAATTTGTACCGTTTACGTAGACACTGAAAAATTCAAACCCCAGCAAGTGTTCAGTTGTGATGAAACAGGCCTGTTTTAGAAGAAAATGCCAAAGAGAACCTACATTACTCAGGAGGAAAAGGCACTCCCAGGACACAAGCCTAAGAAAGACAGGCTAACTCTTTTATTCTGTGCTAACACTAGTGGTGATTTTAAAGTGAAGCCTTTACTAGTGTATCATTCAGAAAATCCCAGAATGTTTAAGAAAAACAATGTCGTCAAGAATAGACTGTGTGTGTTGTGGAAAACAAATAATAAGGCATGGGTCACAAGGCAAATTTTTGAAGAGTGGGTCCATGAAGTGTTTGACTCCAGTGTGAGAAAATACCTCCTGGACAATAACTTGCCACTCAAGTGCCTCCTGTTAATGGACAGTGCTCCTGCTCATCCTCCAAACTTAGTAGACCTCTTGTCTAGGGACTTCAGTTTTATAACAGTGAAGGTCTTGCTTCCTAACACCACTTCTCTCTTCTAGCCCATGGACCAGCAGGTCATTTCTAACTTCAAAAAACTCTACACAAAAGCATTGTTTGAAAAGTGCTTTGAAGTGACCACAGACACTAACTTGACCCTAAGAGAGTTCTGGAGGAATCACTTCAATATCTACAGCTCCATAAGCCTTATAGGTAAGGCTTGGGAGGGAGTGACTTCCAGGACTTTGAACTCTGCTTTGAGACAGTTGTGGCCAGATTGTGTCCAAAAGAGGGATTTTGAAGGGTTTGAAGCTGACCCTGACCCAGCTGACCCTCTGCCTGTTGTGGACTCTATTGTGGCATTGGGGAACACCCTGGAGCTGGAGGTGAGTGGTGAGGATGTGGAAGAGTTGGTGGAGGACCACAGGAAAGAACTAACCACTGAAGAACTGGAAGAGCTTCATCTGGAACAGTATCAGACCACAGCTCAGGAACTTGCTTCAGAGGAGGAGGAGGAAGAGGGAGTGGATGAGGTGCCTTCTTCAAAGATTAAGGAGATTTGCGCCAAGTGGAATTATGTCTAAATGTTTGTGGAGAAGTACCACCCTGAGCAAGCTGAAACAAGCCATCTTTGCAACAAGTTCAGTGACAGAACCATGTCCCATTTTAGGGAAATCTTAGAGGTGCCAGGTAAGTAAAAATGTTATTTTATGTTTATTTAAATTTATTAATAATTGTACACTATATTTGTTGAAGGAGGGGTGTTAATGTTGCAGTTTAAAAACTGTAGTGTAAAGCACCCTTCTGGCAAGACAGTGATGGAGTGAATGATGGTGAAAGTTTTTTCTTTTTCGGGCCACCCTGCCTTGGTGGGAATCGGCCAGTGTGATAATAAAAATAATAAAAAAATATTTGTTGTGTGTATGTAAAACTAGAATGTAATACTATCTATAAAATGTATTTTTTTGTGAATATTTTTGGGTTTCTGGAACTGATTAATTGTATTTCCATTATTTCTTAACAGAAATATTGCTTTGCCTTTCAAACTTTTCGACTTTAGAACTAGCTCCTGGAATGGATTAAGTTCGAAATTTGAGGTTCCATTGTATTTCAAGAATTAAGAAAAGCAACTTGAACGTGATTTCGGAAAGACGTCAGTGTGAGGAAATACAGCCTCTTTACTTTCCTCCAGAGTTAATAGCTATAGCAAATAATTGTTTAAACATCATATTTTATTTTATAATTTTTGTTCTAGGTAAAATTCAGGATTCTACCACTACATTAGTTGAAGAAAATAAATCCCCCAGTCCAAGAAAAGATGAGAATGAGGTAAGTATTTATTTGCAGAGTTTATATGTATATTAATTTAGCTTGATTATACTTGATAGTCATGGTCTTTAGTGGCTTAAGTGCCCCTCTAGTTTGGCAAAAGAGATTGTGTGTATTTTTGTTTTTGTTTGTTTTAAAATGAAGCACATTTGTGCTGGGTATAGCCTGTTACCTACTTTACTGAGCAATTCTGCTGCTTACCTCAAACAACTGGTCCACACATTCCCTTCCATTCATAAATCTAGTTCCATATCTGTACTAGAATAAGTATGTGGAGCTTTTGGTGAACTTATTAACTACATACCTAGCGCAATCCATATACTGGGCCAGTATATATTTTCAGTTTCAATAGCTCAAATAGATACTAATATCATGATTTTTTTCTTGTTGCATAAATTTTATATTTAAAAATGTTTGAAAAATGACATTGCTTTAAAATTTCAGGTGGTGGCGCCAGTCACAGGTGAGCGGCGAAAGGGACCTGCTCCTCCTCCCCCTGTTAGTGGTAGTCTAGCTAGTACTACCACAACTAGTGCTTCCTCCACACCTAAGAAGGGCCCTGCACCTGCAGTCCCGGCTAGCACCACCCCCTCTAAACCTAGAGCTCCTTCACCTGTGGATATAACATCTAATGATTTTGTAGGTGAGTCAGGTGATAACACCTCTCCTAGCAGTACTACAAATGAGCAAGTTACCAGCACACCCTCAGGGAAGGGCCCAGCACCCAAACCTGTACCAATTGGTGAAAGCCCGGTGCCCAAGGAGAAACATTCACCAACATTGCCCAAGACAGACATTCCATGCATAGAAAATATTCCTTCCGTCCCAAATGAAAATGAGAATGTAAATGAGAAACAGTTAAGTGTGTCTCATGCTTCTGAACAAGATAAAAAGACTGTGTTACAGGAAAAAATGGAAACTGATGAGAAGCCCATGAGAGAATCTGACACCCAAGATCCAAAGAGTAACTCTAAAGCAGATGTTGTTGATAATGCAAACCAAGCAACAAATAGGGTATCAGAAGAGGAAAAAGACAAAAGGCTTTCTAGTGCACAAAATATTCCAGAGATCGAAACAACAACCACGTCAAATGAAATGGAGAAACAGACTGAAAACACAACAGTAGGTGTCAGTGTATTAATAGATACAACTGAGCAAAAACAGACAGAAAAAGCTTTATCTTCAGTAGTTGATAATACAGAACACAAAACAGTTATTTCACCATTACCTGCCATTCCCTCTATACCAACCTTGGCATTTTCTACGCCAGATTTGTTAACTTTAGTGTCTTCTGAGTCGCAGGTTACTCCTGTTTCTGACCAAGCTACTAATGAGTCAAGGACTTCAGTGCCAGTGGGACCAGCCTCTGTATCACTATCTGCCAGTTCACCAGAGGCAGTAATTGCATCCATAGGAAGTGATGCTACTGTAATTGTTCGCACTCCTACCCCAACTCCCCCTGAAACTTCTCAAGGCCAGCCCCCTGTGAAAAAAGAAAGCGTAGTCACATATTCTGGTGAGCCATTGATCTTGCTGCATGAATTGCACGTATTAGTGGTAAATGCATGGACTAGAGAAATTCAGCATATTCAGCTTAGCACAGTGGAAGCCATTTTGTATTTGCTTTAGTATTTAAAATGTATTTCTAATTCTTTTTCTTGTATTCAATTGCTTATGTAAAATGTTCCAATCCAGGCTGCTTCTTAAGGCTATGGATCAATGTTTACTCTGATCTGGACAAAACTTTAATGGCTCTTTCCACTACTTTTACTGTATTTTTCAGCTGCAAAATGTCACCCCCATGAGTGACATATAGACCTTGTATGTGACCTAATCATTTTGCATTGTGAAACTGGGTAATGGTACAATGCTAACTTTTGCCTCTTTCTCGCTAGTGATTGTTAGAAAAAGTTTATCAGTTTCTGTTGTATTAAAAAAAAAAAAGATTATTTTTTGTACATGCATCAGTGGTGTAGCAGTATTCAAAGAAAATGGCACGTGTGTTAAATGCACTTAAAAATGGTGGGATATACATCATACATGGTGTGTTGCCAGAAGTGTCCACCTTTTTTTCTTTTTTCTTTTCTTTCTTCTTTTCTTCCTTTCTTCTTTTCTTCTCTTCTTTTCTTTTCTTTTTTTCTTCCTCTTTTCTTCTTCTGTTTGCCAACTTTTCAGAATTCTTGGAAAAAGCCAATGCATGGAATAAAAATATAACCACATCTTTATTATATGTTATTTTAACAGTTTTCTTCCTGTATCTACTCATGAAGATGCATGCATAGAAATGCTTATGCCGGCCAGTTTGTTTTCCGTAAGGCAATAATTGCTAAGTTTCTATTCTGTTTGAGCACCTCACCTTGCATCATATCTTCAGTGAGTGAACCTATCATTTCTATAAATCCTACCAGAATGCTGTTCCTGCTCATATACTTTAACTAGTGCCATTGTTGCTTGGAAATATTGCATGATTATTCTTAGCCATAAGAATGTGAAAAAACTGTGACCAAGATATATTTTAACTGCAGCTCGTCTGATCCTAATATATTTGTGGTTTTGTAAAACAGGTCCTGCTATCGTTGATGAAAACTCCAAAGATGATGTGGAGTCTTCATCGCCTGAAATGCAAGAGTCTATTTCTCAGCAGCCTACTACTTCTCCATCCTTGTCTGAGGCTGAGGAACAGGCAGTGTTCATTTTAGAATCGGCCATTGCAAGTGTTGGAGATGTAGTATCTAGCAAGAGTTCCCAGGAGGATGGGGACGATTCTAATGTTACTCTTACAGGTTCTTCAGTCATACTAACTCCAGACAAGGAAGAGGAGGTGAACACTTCAGTCATGTCAGATCAAGTAGTGGTTGCAGACAGAGTGGTGGTACCAGATGCAGTTGCCAAAGGTAAGCTGGTTATGCAGTTTCACAGATTTTGGAAATAACTGACAGAGTCTGCTGGGTAAAGAGATTTTGGAATCACTGAACATAGTGCAATATATATAGAACTGTTGGCTATTGTTATGATCACAACAAAATCTCTTCTGTCCACCTGAGTAGGTAATTAACCCTTAAAGTATGGGAGAACCAGAAAATGCTGTGTAGGAGTTGGGGCAGAAATTTGAAAAAAAAAAAAAAAATCTTACACTTTTAGAGATCTAAGTGAATAAAACAAAATTGAATAAAAATTTACTGATTTGTAGAGAATTGAAGTTTGTGACAAATGATTGCACATTGGCATCAGCAAAATGCACATAACAGTATGTGTACTGATTTGAGCACAGGTATTGGCCTAAAATAGGTATTAAAGTGGCAAAATTGCTGTTGCTTAAAGTGCTCCTGACCTCCAACTTTGTGCCTGCCCAATTTAAGTATTATATCAAATTTTTCCCTCAGGCATTTAGAGAGATTCTCTACCATCTTAGAAGGTAATATATTTTTTCCAAACTTGTGAATACAGAAGGGGCTTTCAGTTTATTGATGTGGACAATTTTTTTTTTTTCCAACAAACCGGCCGTATCCCACCAAGGCAGGGTCACCCAAAAAGAAAAATGAAAGTTTCTCTTTTTAAATTTAGTAATTTATACAGGAGAAGGGGTTACTAGCCCCTTGCTCCCAGCATTTTAGTCGCCTCTTACAACACGCATGGCTTATGGAGGAAGAATTCTGTTCCACTTCCCCATGGAGATAAGAGGAAATAAACAAGAACAAGAACTAGAAAGAAAATAGAAGAAAACCCAGAGGGGTGTGTATATATACACTTGTACATGTATGTGTAGTGTGACTTAAGTGTAAGCAGAAGTAGCAAGACGTACCTGAAATCTTGTGTGTTTACGAGACAGAAAAAAGACACCAGCAATCCTACCATCATGTAAAACAATTACAGGTTTCCATTTTACACTCACTTGGCAGGACGGTAGTACCTCCCTGGGCAGTTGCTGTCTACCAACCTATTACCTAGAAGTTTTAGGGTTAAAATAACAAAAACTTGGAAAGAAAACAGCTTCTGTACGTAATAGATCATAAGAAAATGAATCCCAGGGTATGTCCTCAACTTTTGTCAAGGACATAAAAAATTTCAAAAAGGGGGAATGTTATTTAACCCCTTGACTGTCGCAACCCGAAATCCTGAGGTGTCTCCTGGTGTCGCAAAATTTAAAAAAAAAATTATTTTTTCTTATGAAATGATAGAGAATCTTTTCTCGATTGTAATGGCACCAAAAAAGAACAAAATTTGGTTGAAAACTGACAGAATTACGCTCTTGCGAAGTTAGCGACCTCGGCGTTATTTACGAATTGGCGATTTCGCCCTCTTTGAGCCCTTTTTTGGGCTAATTCCATTGTTCCAGTCGAACAAACTCATAGCTATTTCTTTAGAACTCCATTTTTTCTATCAATTGAGTACAAGAAACTGCCCATTTACTGATTTCAACTACCCAATAACATGGTCAGAAATTTGCAATTTGGCCAATTTCACAAAAATAAAAAAATATGACAATTTCAAAATAGGGTCCAGAATGAACAGTGCACACATTCCTAGCTCTAAAATAACATTTTCTTTGTTCATCAGTCACATCTCCAGGCCCCTCTGATATTACTCTTGCTTTCTATTTTGAATTTTTATTCAAACAAAAAATAGAAGATTTACTGTTATGCAGACGACTGCAATATTTTAATAATTGTATAAATAATGTCAACCCATTCATGACTGCATATTAGAATGGCTAGTTAGACATTTATTGGACAATGACATCATTTGTTTACTTTTGAACATCGGCAAAAATCAAAGATTTCCCCTACTATGAGCTCCATTTCAAGATTCTTTTCATAGTAAAACCAATCGAAACCACCTCTATTTCTATAATATGTTTTCCATTATATCAAATGAGACCAAGAAAACGAGAATACATCCATAAATACCATACGAAAATAGACCACAAAGTCGGCGTTTTAATTAAAAAAAAAAGGTCATTTTTTTTTTCTCATTGTGCACTGCGTGCTGCAGGATTTTTTTTATATGGTGCACACTGACCACAGAGACCCATTTTCTCACATGTGGGCCTACCAGTTTTCTCTTGCTTGATTTGAAGCCGCTAGAATTTGAGTATATATGCCTCAAACACGGTGACTCGTAAGACGTATATATACGACCGAAACAGTCAAAGGGTTAATCTGGAAAGGGATGTTTGTGTTTTTTGTCTAATATTACAGTAAATCCTTGTTGAATAAGCTACTTTTGAGCTCCCTTAAGGGAGGTTCCTTGATGTTTGGGAAGGGCTCTTGATCAGTTTTTTTTTTTTATATTGCCAGTTTTACTTTCTTCTGCTTGCCTTTTTGGGTGCATTTTTGAATATGCAATGATGAGGGATGAACAATTGTAAGTAAAATCCATATATTTTTTTTATGCTTTGGAGGCTATCTGATATTGGGTGGAAGGTTGAGGCTACCTGAGTGGCCTTGTGTGTGACAACTCAAGATTAGCAGAGTAAATTTCTTTTTAATTTAACTGATACAGTAGTTAGTTTCTACAGTTTATTCAAATGAACGTGTATTGTGTTTTAAAATAATAAATGTGTATTGTACCATATTAAAATTGAAATGTTTTTGTATAGAGGTAGAAGGGAATGGGGAAATATCAAGTAAAAAAATAGAAGTAGGTATTTGGGCAAAGATTAGCATGAATTAAAGCACTGCATGATACAGTATATCAAAATATATTGCAATATTAATAGAGGAAGTTAAATAGATCAGCGGATATTTACTGTATGTGGTTATTTTATTTTTTTTTTTATTATCACACTGGCCGATTCCCACCAAGGCAGGGTGGCCCGAAAAAGAAAAACTTTCACCATCATTCACTCCATCACTGTCTTGCCAGAAGGGTGCTTTACACTACAGTTTTTAAACTGCAACATTAACACCCCTCCTTCAGAGTGCAGGCACTGTACTTCCCATCTCCAGGACTCAAGTCCGGCCTGCCGGTTTCCCTGAATCCCTTCATAAATGTTACTTTGCTCACACTCCAACAGCACGTCAAGTATTAAAAACCATTTGTCTCCATTCACTCCTATCAAACACGCTCACGCATGCCGCTGGAAGTCCAAGCCCCTCGCACACAAAACCTCCTTTACCCCCTCCCTCCAACCTTTTTCCCAGGCCGACCCCTACCCGCCTTCCTTCCACTAAGACTGATACACTCTTGAAGTCATTCTGTTTCGCTCCATTCTCTCTACATGTCCGAACCACCTCAACAACCCTTCCTCAGCCCTGTGGACAACAGTTTTGGTAATCCCGCACCTCCTCCTAACTTCCAAACTACGAATTCTCTGCATTATATTCACACCACACATTGCCCTCAGACATGACATCTCCACTGCCTCCAGCCTTCTCCTCGCTGCAACAATCATCACCCATGCTTCACACCCATATAAGAGCGTTGGTAAAACTATACTCTCATACATTCCCCTCTTTGCCTCCAAGGACAAAGTTCTTTGTCTCCACAGACTCCTAAGTGCACCACTCACTCTTTTTCCCTCATCAATTCTATGATTCACCTCATCTTTCATAGACCCATCTGCTGACATGTCCACTCCCAAATATCTGAATACGTTCACCTCCTCCATACTCTCTCCCTCCAATCTGATATTCAATCTTTCATCACCTAATCTTTTTGTTATCCTCATAACCTTACTCTTTCCTGTATTCACCTTTAATTTTCTTCTTTTGCACACCCTACCAAATTCATCCACCAATCTCTGCAACTTCTCTTCAGAATCTCCCAAGAGCACAGTGTCATCAGCAAAGAGCAGCTGTGACAACTCCCACTTTGTGTTGTGATTCTTTATCTTTTAACTCCACGCCTCTTGCCAAGACCCTCGCATTTACTTCTCTTGCAACCCCATCTATAAATATATTAAACAACCACGGTGACATCACACATCCTTGTCTAAGGCCTACTTTTACTGGGAAAAAATTTCCCTCTTTCCTACATACTCTAACTTGAGCCTCACTATCCTCGTAAAAACTCTTCACAGCTTTCAGTAACCTACCTCCTACACCATACACTTGCAACATCTGCCACATTGCCCCCCTATCCACCCTGTCATATGCCTTTTCCAAATCCATAAATGCCACAGACCTCTTTAGCCTTATCTAAATACTGTTCACTTATATGTTTCACTGTAAACGCCTGGTCCACACACCCCCTACCTTTCCTAAAGCCTCCTTGTTCATCTGCTATCCTATTTTCCGTCTTACTCTTAATTCTTTCAATTATAACTCTACCATACACTTTACCAGGTATACTCAACAGACTTATCCCCCTATAATTTTTGCACTCTCTTTTATCCCCTTTGCCTTTATACAAAGGAACTATGCATGCTCTCTGCCAATCCCTAGGTACCTTACCCTCTTCCATACATTTATTAAATAATTGCACCAACCACTCCAAAACTATATCCCCACCTGCTTTTAACATTTCTATCTTTATCCCATCAATCCCAGCTGCCTTACCCCCTTTCATTTTACCTACTGCCTCACGAACTTCCCCCACACTGGCTCTTCCTCACTCCTACAAGATGTTATTCCTCCTTGCCCTATACACGAAATCACAGCTTCCCTATCTTCATCAACATTTAACAATTCCTCAAAATATCCCCTCCATCTTCCCAATACCTCTAACTCTCCATTTAATAACTCTCCTCTCCTATTTTTAACTGACAAATCCATTTGTTCTCTAGGCTTTCTTAACTTGTTAATCTCACTCCAAAACTTTTTCTTATTTTCAACAAAATTTGTTGATAACATCTCACCCACTCTCTCATTTGCTCTCTTTTTACATTGCTTCACCACTCTCTTAACCTCTCTCTTTTTCTCCATATACTCTTCCCTCCTTGCATCACTTCTACTTTGTAAAAACTTCTCATATGCTAACTTTTTCTCCCTTACTACTCTCTTTACATCATCATTCCACCAATCGCTCCTCTTCCCTCCTGCACCCACTTTCCTGTAACCACAAACTTCTGCTGAACACTCTAACACTACATTTTTAAACCTACCCCATACTCTTCGACCCATTGCCTATGCTCTCATTAGCCCATCTATCCTCCATAGCTGTTTATATCTTACCCTAACTGCCTCCTCTTTTAGTTTATAAACCTTCACCTCTCTCTTCCCTGATGCTTCTATTCTCCTTGTATCCCATCTACCTTTTACTCTCAGTGTAGCTACAACTAGAAAGTGATCTGATATATCTGTGGCCCCTCTATAAACATGTACATCCTGAAGTCTACTCAACAGTCTTTTATCTACCAATACATAATCCAACAAACTACTGTCATTTCGCCCTACATCATATCTTGTATACTTATTTATCCTCTTTTTCTTAAATAATGTATTACCTATAACTAAACCCCTTTCTATACAAAGTTCAATCAAAAGGGCTCCATTATCATTTACACCTGGCACCCCAAACTTACCTACCACACCCTCTCTAAAAGTTTCTCCTACTTTAGCATTCAGGTCCCCTACCACAATTACTCTCTCACTTGGTTCAAAGGCTCCTATACATTCACTTAAATCTCCCAAAATCTCTCTCTCTCCCCTCTGCATTCCTCTCTTCTCCAGGTGCATACACGCTTATTATGACCCACTTCTCGCATCCAACCTTTACTTTAATCCACATAATTCTTGAATTTACACATTCTTATTCTCTTTTTCTCCTTCCATAACTGATCATTTAACATTACTGCTCCCCCCTTCCTTTGCTCTAACTCTCTCAGATACTCCAGATTTAATCCCATTTATTTCCCCCCACTGAACTCTCCTACCCCCTTCAGCTTTGTTTGCTTAGGGCCAGGACACCCAACTTTTTTTCATTCGTAACATCAGAAATCATCTGTTTCTTGTCATCCGCACTACACCCCACGCACTTTAAGCATCCAGTTTTATAAAGTTTTTCTTCTTCTCTTTTTAGTAAATGTCTACAGGAGAAGGGGTTACTAGCCCATTGCTCCCGGCATTTTAGTCGCCTCATACGACACGCATGGCTTACGGAGGAAAGATTCTTTTCCACTTCCCCATGGACAATAGAAGAAATAAAGAAGAACAAGAGCTATTTAGAAAAAGGAGAAAAACCTAGATGTATGTATATATATATGCATGTGCGTGTCTGTGAAGTGTGACCAAAGTGTAAGTAGGAGTAGCAAGATATCCCTGTTATCTAGCGTGTTTATGAGACAGAAAAAGAAACCAGCAATCCTACCATCATGCAAAACAGTTACAGGTTTTTGTTTCACAGTCATCTGGCAGGATGGTAGTACTTCCCTGGGTGGTTGCTGTCTACCAACCTACTACCTGTATGTGGTGTAGGTATAAAATAAGGTGGAAAGAAGAGGTCCTATAAGTTAAAATGAAAGGTTTTAATTTAACTAATGATTTAACTTGTTTCCTGTTAACCTAGTGCAGTTTTCTTGCAAACAGATAAGACTGAGAGTGTCACAGAAGTCCAGGTAATTTCCAATGATGGCCATAAACTTGATGAAAGTGAAGTTGTCATCAGCAGTTCATCTATACCTCATGAAGAGATGGACACACATCCTGAACCAGAATCTTCTACAAAGTAAGAAAAAAAAAAATCAACTTATGAGAATATTTTTATATAATGTTAATCAGTTTACCTTCTCATCATGTATTCTCAGTTTGAAGAGAAAGGTCATCTTGACCAGTATATTTTCTGGAAGTTGTATATAGTTTTCTTGAAACTTACTGTTGAGTCATATACCATGCAATTCCACCTCAGTGGGAGATGGCTAGTCTGTTAAAAAAAAAAAAAAAATCTGCAACCTCATAAACCATACCCCCGGCCGGGATTGAACCCGCGGTCATAGTCTCAAAACTCCAGCCCGTCGCGTTAGCCACTAGACCAGCTAGCCACAATAAGATTCATCCAACTAGGTATATTTCTACACCATAGGAAGGTTAGCACAGGCACCTCTGTGACCACAAATGCAAGTTTTTACAGACGAATCTCCAGCTAGCGTGGCCGTGACGAACTCTAGCTCAAGTCCCTTCACTGCCGTCAACATGACTTAAGAAATCATAATGACACGATTGCAAATAAACCATACCCCCGGTCACGGCCACGCTAGCTGGAGATTCGTCTGTAAAAACTTGCATTTGTGGTCACAGAGGTGCCTGTGCTAACTTTCCTATGGTGTAGAAATATACCTAGTTGGATGAATCTTATTGTGGCTAGCTGGTCTAGTGGCTAACACGACGGGCTGGAGTTTTGAGACTATGACCGCGGGTTCAATCCCGGCCGGGGGTATGGTTTATTTGCAATCATGTCATTACGATTTCTTAAGTCCTGCAACCTCATTTCCTCCAAATAAGCTGGACAAAAGTAACTGGGAATTATTAGTTTAATTTTTTGAAGCATTATATGTACTGCATACTAGTCTGATTTTCCTTTTTTTAAAGGTCACGATATGAGATCACACTGGAAGAAACTGGAAAGGTGGAAGTAGTCTTGCCTACTGTTACTTCTACAAATGACACAACACACATCTCTGTAGTAGCTGTAGATGATTTATCAGAAGCCGAATTGCCTAAGGGTCTTCCACCTTCTCAGGACACTCTTAGCACAGTGAAAACACCAGTACCAGCATCTGTTGATCCGAAGGCAGTAACCAACAGATCGCCAGTTCAGAGTGAGCCAGATAACCAAGGACATTTGGAAACTTCCTCTAACATATCTAATATTTCTAATCTAAGTGGAGGAACTGCCTCAACAGGGCGGTCTCTAAGTTCAGCTGAGGAAGAGAATCGGCCCACAGTGTCACTGTTGATAGAAGGTACAACTGTAGGTGCAACAGATGTAGATGATGATGTGTTTGATCACAATGAACACCATGACTCAAAGGTTAGTGATCAAAACATGAATTTTAATTGTTTCTGTGTGTAGAGCAGTCATTCCAATGGAGTAAAAATTAAATGTGTTGAGTATTTAATTTGTATATACAGGTGGGCCCTGCTTATACAGCAGGGTAGGTTCTGGGCTACTGCTGTACAGCAAAAAATGCTCTTAGGTGAAACATGGCCTTTTTTCAATTTTAAATGCATATAGAAGCCAGACAACATGTTTACACTTGTATATTCAGTGACCAATAGAGCTACACCTACAAAAAATGCATGTACAGTACACACATTACTACCTTAAAATATTTTCATCCTTAGCTTATAGTGAGTGGTGAATATATTTATTATAGGAAGTTCAGTCTGAAAAAATGAAGAATGGGTATAATTGAAAACTGCTGCATTAGCAAAATGCCGTAAAGCAAAACGCTGTTAAGCGGGTCCCTCCTGTAATGCATTGTTTCTGTACTGGATTAGATTTTGTGCAAGATTAGAACTACAGTAATTACAATTGTTTTCTTGAAGTATATTAATGAGCAATACTTGGAGATAAGAAGCTATTTGTTACAATTTTGGTTTAGAAAGACCACAAGCATTGATAGTGAGTGATGGTAGCACTTATTTTTTCCTACTGTGTTAATTATCTCATTGTCAGACTGTGAAAGACAACTCTCACAAGAAGCCTGCATTAGTTAGGGAACTGACAATTGGAAGTGAGGTTTCTGTAGAGTCTGGAGTCTCCACTGGCTCTACTGTTTCCACCCCAACACACCAGAATGATTACTCTCAACAAAACACCCCCATTGCTCATTCTCCTGGAACAAAGATCTTGCCTAATGGAATTGGCAGGGATGGTCACAGATTGTCAGAGAGGTAACTTTTGTAATTGTGTTGTTAATTCAGTGTATTTTAAAAGTACTGTTATTGTGTGGTATTCGTAAATGCACCTGTTGAGATAAATGGGAGTAAATTAATTGCACAGAAATTAATTATTGTTCTTTCCATTGATTTTTCTTAAATATTTGTATTAGTGAAAATTCACTTTTATTTAAAATTTGAACTCAAAACACAGCTGCTTGTCTTTCTTTTCAGTTGCAAAGTTTCTTTATAAATTTTTCCCGTTTTATTATTGTCTCCTGCTTTTAATAATTTGCTGATTCTTTATTTTAGAAAAACACTTTGCTAGCACTTTTCTATAGGATTCACTAAAGTCAGCTTTCCTTTTTATTTGTCCTTTTAGTCGATCTGAGTGGGACAATATAAGCACAACCGTTCAGAAAGAGATAACAGACATAGAGAGAGAGATGATGAGAGTCTGGATGAAGTTGTTCTCCGAAGATCTCAGCACTCCGATCTGGCTGATGTCACCCTCCAACCATTAGAGAAAAACAGAGACAGCAGGAATACAAGAATGACAAAACAAGAAAGCGATTTGGTTGCCTTGCGTAAAAAGACAAGAAAACGCACCCGAAAGTTTGTCGTTGATGGGGTCCTCGTTACTACAAGACAGGTCAGTATTTCTTTATGTATATTTCCAAATTAGTTTTAGCCATATACAAAGTTTGCCTGCCTTGTGACCAGGAGCTTCTCCAGAGAAAATGGCTACTAAATCAATTTTATACTAAGTGAACCTCATTTTCCCCCAATTGGCTGTTGTTTTTGCCTTAGTGGGAAAGTTTAAGAAAGCAAATCATGTTGAATAATTTAGAATGTACAAGTCTTTAACAATTAATTATTCTTATTGTTCTTGATGCATCATCAATGCCATGGTCAATTAGTAATTTTATTCCTTTAGGTCTTTTATGAAGATGAGGGAATGGGCACTGGCCATTTTGCAAGGAAGCAGGAATTGCGTGAGCTCAAGATTCTGCAAAAAATTGAGCAGAAACAGTTCCAGGAACTGGGTATGAAAGCCAATTTTGCCCGAGTAGAACAAGAAAAGAAGTTTGACTTGGAGAGACAGCAGCTCTTACGAGGATATGATACTGATATAGAAGCACTAAACAGACAACAGAAACAACAAGTAAGTGTTTTGGATTTTGTATCTAAGGCATATGGTTGTTATAGTTAAAATATATTGTGGTTATTGTACAGTCCAACCATGTACAATAAAAATAATTGTTATAATTCTGTTTTACCTTGGGTTTGTACTTTGCTTTATGTTCCACTAATCAGGTAGAAAAAGCAGAGGCTTTGCAAGAGGTCGAGTTGAAGAATGCCAGCAAAAAGATAAGAGCTGAACAAGAACGGGAATTAAAAGCTTTCAGAGAATCCCTCAAGACAGAGCTTAAGCTTTTGAAACAAGAGATTGATCTTCTGCCTAAAGTAAGTTTCTTAATGTTATTAATGTAGGAAAATGTTTAGATTTCCCACATGTGCATGGGCTTTTGTATCTGCTGCTGTTATGTAATTTCCTAAATTTTTTTTATTAACACGTTGGCTGTTTCCCACTAAGGCAGGGTGACCCAAAAGAAAGAAAAACCCAAAAAGAAAGAAAAAACTTTCATTATCAGTCAACACTTTCACCATCACTCATACATAATCACTGTCCGTAAAAATCTTGTCATACTGTAGTTGCTGATTTAAAAATGTACATTTTTTTGAGGCACAAATGGTTAGAAAATTGCCTGTTTTATGTGTAAAGCTCCCATTGCAAAGGGAAACATAATTCAATTGCATCCTTAATGTGCTGCTGCTCTTGGACTCGAGCAAGAGCTAAATTAGGTTATGTTTACCATACATAAGACTGACATTTTAAATATAAATTCCATTGTTAGTTTATATATTCTTACCTTATAGGACAAGAGAAAGGAAGCCTTCAAGTCTCGCAAGGAACGGTTGGATGAGGATCAGAGTGAGAGAGAAAAATCTTTCTTGGAGAAACTACATGAAGCTCATGAGGTAAGAGTGCACTGCTTTGGAGACACTATTATTTCTAGCCTCAAAGCCAGTATTTTTGCCAAATTTAATGTCATTAGGTGTGTAATTGTCAACGAAATTTGTTGGTAAACTTTAAAAGATTTTTTTTTTCTCAAGTTGTCTGTCTCCCACTGAGGCAGGGTAACCCAAAAAAGAAAGTACTTTCATCATCATTCAACACTTTCACCTCACTCATACATAATCACTGTGTTTTCAGAGGTGCTCAGATACGACAGTTTAGAAGTCCTTCCAAATTGTAAATATCCCAGACCTCTCCTTTAAAGTGCAGGCATTGTACTTCCCATTTCCAGGACTCAAGTCTGGCTAAAATAATAACCGGTTTCTCTGAACCCCTTCACTAAATATTGCCCTGTTCACACTCCAACAGCTTGTCAAATCCCAAAAACCATTCATCTTCATTTACTTCTATCTAACACGCTCACACACGCTTGCTGGAAGCCCCTCACCTACAAAACCGCCTTTACCCCTTCCCTCCAACCTTTTCGAGGATGACCCCCTACCCCTCCTTCCTTTCCCTACAGATTTATACACTCTCCAAGTCATTCTACTTTGAGTCATTCTCTCAAAATGACCAAACCACCTCAACAACCCCTCTTCATCCCTCTGACTAATACTTTTAGTAACTCCACATCTCCTCCTAATTTCCACACTCCAAATTCTCTGCATAATATTTACACCACACATTGCCCTTGGACAGGACATCTCCACTGCCTCCAGCCGCTTCCTCGCTGCAGCATTTACAACCTAAGCTTCTCACCCATATATGAGTGTTGGTACCACTATACTTTAATACATTCCTTTCTTTGCCTCCATAGATAACGTTATTTGTCTCCACAGATACCTCAACGCACCACTCGCCTTTTTTTCCTTCATCAGTTCTATGGTTAACCTCATCCTTCATAAACCCATCCACTGACAAGTCAACTCCCAAATATCTGAAAAGCATTCACTTCTTCCATTCTCCCTCACTCCAATATGATATCCAATTTTTCTTTATCTAAATAATTTGATACCCTCATCACCTTACTCTTATCTATGTTCATTTGCCCTTCAGTACTTGTGCATTAGCAAGAAAGTTAATGATGAAGAGAGAATTGATGTGATAGGGAGTGGTAAAGGTATGTCTTCTCCAGAATCTGTTGATAGTGTGATGGTAAAAGCATTGTTATTTTATGAATTCTTCTTTTAAGTGTTTTTACACACAACAGCAGAATGTACAGTATGCTCATATAGTCAGTGGCTCTCAATTTGCAACCAGAAAATGCTGAGATGCTTATCTATGGGCTAAGCTAAAGTATAAGTGTAATGATACCTGGATAAATGACAGAAATTTGGCTAGTATGAAATATTTGTGAAATCTGAGAGTTAATGAGGAAGTGTTTTTGACAGTGGTTAATGAATTCCTTGTAGAATTTGTAGGGTAATTTATAAATGGTGGATAAAAATTTCATGAAAGATGCTGAAGGAGTGATGAATATTAGATGAGATGTCATTCCTATTTGTGAATTCCCAATTACCTCCCACCCCCCACACTTCCCCCCCCCCCCTTTTGTTTTTATCTTTTGATAACATTTTGGCTTGTTCTGTTCTGGACCATTATCAAGTAAAGTTAGTACTTGATGGTCCATGGTGGACCGAAATGTTGAAATGTTGCGAGCTATTTGCAGATTGTTCCAGCCATGGTATTATGACTTATTTTCTACTGCTAAATGTTCTAAGAGTTTAAGCTCGGGTTATAATGTTAGTGGAATTTTATCAGAGCATTGGACTTGTTTGCAAGACATTTTCCTTCAACTTTTATACTTGAAAATGAACATAGACTAATTACAAAAGTAGGTGAGTAATTTTTACGGAATTTATAAAAGTTTGGTTTCTCACTTAGGTATCCCTGAAACGCTTGGGGGATGATCATCGGGAAAGAATTGCTTTATTAGAGAGGCAGTTTCTTCAGCAAAAACACCAGCTACTAAGATCTAGAGAATCTGCGCTCTGGGAAATGGAAGAACGCCACCTACACGAAAAGCATCAGCTCTCCAAGAGACAACTTAAAGATATATTCTTCCTCCAGAGACACCAGGTTTTGATATTTAAATTCTGAAAATGAGTCAATTTAGATTGCAAGAGATAAAGAACTGTTAGTTGGGTTTAGAGATGAAGTTATCAGTAAAAAATTCAAATATACACCTACCATCCGACTTACGACCTGCTCGACTTACGACCGTGTTTTTTATGCCAAATTTCTGGGAAATAAACAACTATTTGTGTTATACACAGTGTTTATCCTAAACCTTACAGTATAAAATACAGTACTAACAGCATAAAAAGTAAAGTAAAACATGAAATACCAAAATAAAACAATAAAATAAAGTCATTACAAAAATGTGATGTTGATATTCAGTAGTAAAGTTCGACTTACGACCATTTCGACTTACGACCGGTTTCTCGGAACCGAACTCGGTCGTAAGTCGGATGGTAGGTGTACTTATTAATAGACATTGGATTTTCTTGACTAATTTGAATAATTTTATTGAATATAGGTTTTGTACATGGTTTAGCTAATAAGGTTAGTATATTATTTCTTCTTATTAGATGCTGCTGCGCCATGAGAAGGAACTGGAGCAAGTGAAACGGGTAAATCAGCAGAAAGAAGAGGAACTTGTTAAACGACAGCAGGTAAGTGCATATTGGGTATATTATATTTTTCCTCCATTTCTTAATTTTTATAATATATCTGGCCGGTTAAAAGTCCACAGATTAACCGGCTTGACCATAGTCATAAAACTGAAATTGAGGTCACTGACTTTCTCTCCAGCACTTTTTTCATTTTTTGATTAAGGTTGGTGTGCTTCGGGATATTTATTAATGACAAAATTCTCTCTATTTATATTATCAGTTGATCAGATTAATTTTGGTACTGCTGTTAAGTGTCACTGTAGATCATTTTCACTTGCTTTACCAGCTATCATATAACATACTCTTAAAATGATAATTAACCTGTGTGAATGATGTAATTGCTTCAGTACCTATAGAAAAATTTAATACCTAAATAATTTGTCTTTTATATACAGTAGAGTATTGCAATGATATTCACTCTGCATTGCTTTGCTTAATTTCATCACACCTTACACAAATACATAATTCTTTCTTTCAACACACCGGCCATATCCCACCGAGGCGGGGTGGCCCAAAAAGAAAAACGAAAGTTTCTCCTTTTACATATAGTAATATATATAGGAGAAGGGGTTACTAGCCCCTTGCTCCCGGCACTTTAGTCGCCTCTTACAACACGCATGGCTTACGAAGGAAGAATTCTGTTCCACTTCCCCATCGAGGTAAGAGGAAATAAACAAGAACAAGAACTAGAAAGAAAATAGAAGAAAACCCAAAGGGGTGTGTGTGTTATATATATGCTTGTACATGTATGTGTAGTGTGACCTAAGTGTAAGTAGAAGTAGCAAGACGTACCTGAAATCTTGCATGTGTATGAGACAGAGAAAAAAAGACACCAGCAATCCTACCATCGTGTAAAACAATTACAGGCTTCAGTTTTACATTCACTTGGCAGGACGGTAGTACCTCCCTGGGCGGTTGCTGTCTACCAACCTACTACTTAGAAAATGCATAATTATTTTAGTAAATTTCCATAATTATTCATTTTTATATTCTATATAATCCTATAATGATTTTTAAATGGAAAAAAACAACTTCCCACAGCATGACTGTTAAGGTGCACAATTTAAAGAATTCTCACTCACTTCCTCATGAAGATAAAATGAAACACTGTTAAAACAAGAACTAATGAGAGATTAGAAGTCAGATAAGTGTGTATATACACATACATATGTAACTGTATGTGTAGTATGAACTAGATATAGGTAGAAATAGCAAGATGTACTTGTCATTTCACATATTTGAGACATTAAGAAAAGATATCAGCAGTCCTGCCATTGTGTAAAACATTTACAGGTTTGTTTCACACTTGTTTGGCAGGGTAGTAGTACCTCCCTGGGTGGTTGTCTACCAACTCTTACAGATTCCATGCACTGTGCTGTATTGTGTTCAGCATTTTGTGCAAAACTATATCTACTGTACATTGGAAGCCCCTTAAGTTAGAGGCCTTCATGCTGGTAATACAAAGAAACACCTGCCCTCCCCATCCTTGGATCAAGCCTGTCCCCCATTTCCCCAGGTGCTATGACTCCCATGGGCTTAGCACTTCCTCTAATATAAAATAATACAGGATGGAAGTCTTTCATTTGGGATGCGATAATTTTGAGAGTCTTAAAAGTTTAGCATACCTTGTTTAAATTTGCTTTTCAGATTGAAAAAAGACAGTTGCCAAAGCGAATCCGCCAAGAAATGAAGGCACGTGAACTTATGTTCCGTGAGAGTATGAGAATAAGCACTTTCCATCTCCCAGACTCCCATGAAGACGAGAAAAACAAATTAAAAAAGGTAGGACTGTATTTTGTAAGTTTTAATATTTTTTGTTACTTTTGGATAATAAATAGCCTGCACATAAAATTTAAGGAAATTTGTCACTTAAAATGTATAACAGTTCCAGGAGAATGAAAAACGTAGATATGAGGCAGAAAAGAAACGTGCAGAACAGAAACATCAGCGAAAGCTAGAAGAGCTTCAGGCATCCTCAGAATACACTGTGAAAGAATTAGAACAACTTCAGAATGAAAAGCGTATGTATCACATTGTTATGAGAAAGCATGTTTATATATGTACAACAGGAATGGCACATAGAGCTCTCTGTAAAGCTTTAGTTTTTTGTTGGAATGCCACTTTGAGTGGACTGTAAGAAACAATCTAATGTTAACTGTCAAAACTCATGTTTTCAGGTAAAATGCTGATGGAGCACGAAACTAACAAACTCAAATCTCAGGATGAAGAGTATCAGAGAGAAGTAAGAGAGTGGAAAGACAATCTCAAGCCTCGGAAACAGGTAATTATGCATATGTCACTGTTATTAACCACTATTAACATTGTATAGTCGTTGGCATCTTATTTTTTACGGATTAGTCTTGCCTTACCAACTGGAATTAACCATATATTGTTCCACTTTGATTCTAGTGATGTTCTTTGATATTATTTGATTTCATATTCATAATAAATGTATTTATTTCTCTTAAATATCTAGAGCTTGTCTTTCTTGGTTGATATAGGCGTTTTTTATGTTGTAATTTTTATTATTTTTTCACAAGATGAGATGTGATGCTTGCATATTGAGCTCATAAGTACACAGCTATAGCCTGGCTTTAATGAATATTGTGTGGTGCTCTTGTGTGCTTTTTTTTTGTACAGATGTTTGTACATTAATTGATTCTTTTTGCCAGACTGCATCAAAAGTCATATTTATCATAGGCTAAGAAGAATGCCTTATTTCCCATCCTCATTGACATCGACAGTCAAGAATTACTTGGTAAATAAAAGTTAGCTCTTAGTATCATAGAAGAAATGATAATGAATTCCAGTTCAGTGGTTCAACTCTACAAGCACTGTTACAGACTCACGAAATTGTAATGACACGATTGCCTGCTGGAGTTTTGAGACTCTCTGACCGCGGGTTCAATCCCGGCCGGGGTATGGTTTATGGACTGTTACAGACTATAGTACTTTACTGCCTCTTTTAGTTCCCATGGTATTCTTTGCATAAGTACATTTTTATCTTAAATGTTCCATCCATGCAATTTATCCCCATATCAATGAAATGGTGGTTTGTGTAGTCACTGTGCTAGCGGAATTTGAAAATATGCAATGCGAGAATTAGCCTTTGTTAGGTTTTCTTAATTTTTATTTTTTTTTGTTTTTTTTTACCTTTGGCTGGTGTTGACTCCCCCTGTCATTTTTTTTTTTTTAAGTGTACTACACTATTCACTGACTGATGAGGGGGTTAATGGAGACCAGAAACTTGAATGGTATAATTCACATTTACTTCCCATTAAGTATAAACATTACTGTTTTATTTCTTTTCAAAAGGAGAATATATGTTTGTAGATACATATTGCTGATCTTGATTGATTAGAATTTATTAATAGCAGATGTAATATTGCATCCTTAGTACAATATGTAATGTATATAATGACAAACCGATTTAATCACTAAAATTTTATCGCTGAATATGCTAACTGCAAAATATATCAAAATAGCATTGGTTGACTTTCATTAGTTGATATAGCTTGTTAAGTTTTACTGAACTGGAATTCATATGTCAGTTACCCTCGTTAATATCAACCAAAGTAAGCAAGCTGTTGGGCAGCTGGTGAAAGTTTTAGCTGAATTGGACTATCAGTCCCTTCATGATTGTTGCACAGGGACTGGAGAAGGACTTTCATGCTGATTGGATCTTTGCACAGAGAACACATCTTGACTACCAGGTGGATTATACAGTGTTTCAAAATAGCATGACTTTAGAGTAAGACTATTGGGAGTGTTCTTGGACACTGTTCACAGGAGGGCAAGGATAATGCATGACTTCAGTTTGCCATTAGCATTATTTTGTAGAATTTTTATTTTTATTTTGGCTTGAGAGTATTGTAGTTTCAGCACACTTTACATATTTTCTAGTATTTACTTTATAGGCAGTATTTGCAACATACAACTTAGGTGCAACCTAATTATTTTTAAGTAATAAGGTCTGTTTTTCTTTGGATCAGCCTGAAAAACATTAATTAGATTGATTTATTAAGTTTGCACTTTAAAGTAATCAGAAAGGTAAAGCCAAAGATTTTTCTGGTGAATTACGTGTAGTAGCAAACCAGTTGATAGATTGAAGATGTGAATAAAAGCAGTGTTTAAATACAGGAGAGAGAACTAATCTGGAAAATGGTGCATACTTAATGTTTGTCTAATGCTAGCTTTATGCTGGTGTCCAAAATTTTGCAAACTCACTATTTAAGTGATAGTTTGCATACATGCATTTATCAATCTTATTTCTTTAAGAAATGAATGTGATTTTATAGGAGTTTATCAATACCTCTTATTCTGTTTAATATCTTAAAGCATAGCTTCCCTAATGATAGCTTGGCTGAAAGTTTGGTAAGCAAACAAATTTCGCAAAGTATAGATGTGTATATGTATGTATGAATGCATTTAAAATCCCAAAGTTGCAAGGGTTGCATTCCTAGAGGTCACTCAAGTCTTGAATTTATGAATAATACAAAATTTGTTCTGCATTTGAGGCATATTTCTTTAAATTTCACTGGGGTTTCATTGACAGTCATAATAACTGACTAGGAAGAAATGAGATTGGATTAGTTTTCAGTATAGGAGTCCTGCACCAATTAAAAAAAAAAAAAAAGGGCATGACCAGAGAGTTTCTCTGGTAAAAATGTTGTGTATTCGAATCTTATGAATTATAATGCTATACTGCTTTTTAAAAAATGGCAAATGCCATTTTAAATTTAAGAGTACTGTATTGACATGTTGTATTAGTCCTGATACTATTTTTGACAGCATGTTTGTGTTAAAAGTTTTTTCCCTAAGCTAACATTACTACAGGTTATCTAAATTTAAATCTTTTGCTAACATAAATCAAAATGTTTGAAAATTAATGAGTAAACCAAAGTCGCACATGTCAGACAGGACTCTACTCATGGCCAGGCTGTTGTGCTAGGAAGCTTCTGTGGCTTTTTCTTTATCACCCTAACAGTGTAATATTATATTTGCAAGGTAGCTAATGTGAAAACCATATTTTTTCATAAGGTTATGGAATAGGGGAGGAAGGAAAAAGGGAGATAGTGAGATGGAGGAGGGGGATGGAGTCAGGCTACCACTTTTCTCAGACTTCTCGACAAAGGCAGTTTGTTTTGTGTTAGTTCATGACAATCTCTTAACTGTTAGATGGTGTACCACAAGGATGTATGCTTGGCGTATGCTTGGCAAAACCTTGTTTCTGATTGTCATTAATGAACTTTCCTCAGTTCCTTCCAGTGGTATCTTGTCTTTTTCTCTTTTGTAGATAATTTTGCTATTGCTTGTGCTGCACAGTTAGCCAGCTTGTTGCAGCCCTTTTATGATGTGCTATTGATTGCAAGTTTAGGTGGGTCTCGTCACATGGCATCAGGTTTTCTGTATCTAAACTAAGCTTGTTAATTTTCAATGCAGTTCCGTCATTCCATATTCCATTTTACACTTAAAGATTCCTCTATCCCAGAATGTGAAAGTTAAATATCTTTGCTTTCTCTTTGTCAGATGTGGAAAGCTCATATAGCCTCTGTTGATGCTTCATATCATAGACTGACTTAATCCAAATTTTAAAAAATTGTCTAGGGTTGCCAACAACCCCCCCCCCCTTTTTTTTTTTTTAGCCTTGTTCATGTTTAACCCTTAAATTGTCCACACCCCTGAAATTGAAAGCCCCTTCTGTGTCCATAAATTTGATGAAAAAAAATTAAAATAGTAATGATACCAAAAATATAGTTGATGCAATGCTTATGGAATTAGGCAGGCACAAAGTTGAGCAAACTCACAGCAGCAATTTTGTACAATTTAAAGCCGATTTTAGGCCAATTTTTTTGCTCAAACCAGTCCAATTCCAGGTTATTTTACAATTATTCTTTCCATACTGTCCATTGATAGCAAGAAACTATCCATTCATCTATCAGAGCTAGCTTATTAAGCACCCAGAAGTTGGAAAGTTGACTAGTCTTGCACTATTTTTTAACAAATTTGTTTAAAAAAAAAGTTCAAAATAAACACTGTTTTCCAGCTTAACTAAAGCAACCTTTCCTCTGCTCATGAATCACATCCGCAGACCTCTCCTATAAAACACTTGCTCTCCAGTTTGAATCCATTTCCCACCAAAAAAAAAAAAATCATAGCCACTAATACTCGGCTATGGTTTAAGCTGTCCCAATAATTAATGCAGACCTATTAAAAACCCATGAAACACAGGGGGCCCTACCCTGTCCCAGAAAAATCTGTCAAAATTGGCAATTTCTGCTACTTTGAGGTCTATTTCGGGCCACTTCCAGTCTTAAATCGACCAAAAATTCCATCACTAGTGTGTCTTCGGGATTGACTGTTGGAACTAAGAAACAAGAATAAATTCATGAAAACTAACCTATTTTAACCCAAATGTATGGTCAGAGGTTGGCTGTTTACCATTGTTGCACCCTACTGCACAGACTCATAATCTCGTAACTAGGCCAAAATTTACCGCTAGCAGCAAGTTTGAGATCTCTGAATTATGCTGCTGATATGTTGTGGACACTGATTGCTATAATGTTTTAATATGGGTATGTCACTAACAGCTGAAGGATTTGACTGGACTTGGAAAACCAGGTATATTCCCTCACATCTTTCTAAATTTGATGCCATGTTTAGGGTTCTTTAGGTCTTTCCTGGTCAGAAACTTGTATACTATCTAATGTCCCTTCTTTGCAAGGTCATCGATGTACCCACTGTCTATTATTTTGTTTACTTCTATTGCCTTCAGGATCTTACTACCTATAGAATCATCACTGATGTTAGATAAGCTGATGCCTTTAATCTTTGCCCCCTTTTATGGGGCCCTTTTAATATCTCCATTCAGACCTGTGTAATATTCCTTACTCTATCTCCTTATGTTCACCCCATGTCTTACTTATCCTTACTACCGTAGTCCCAATGGTCCTGTCTACTCTTTCTCCTCATGGCTGAATTTTCGCATTTCTGCTATGGATTCGTGCGCTCTGCTCCTTGGACATTTCCAGTCACAGTGCGACTACACTGTATACAGATTACCTGAAGATTACTTGAAGGCGAAGTCAGGGGTCACCGCCCCCACAATCCAGACCCAGAACAGGCCTCCTGGATGGAGTGGGATATGGAACTGCTTTTCCAGGTAAAGTGATTCAAAGACACTAATGGAGACTGCCAATATTTTCAAAATACTGTAGTAATGCAGTCTCACTACTGTGTTTGCCCCCATGTTTGCCTCATTCGTTGTAGTTTCAAACATGGTGAGCTATAAGTTATCAAGAGCTCTGACTCCACATCTCATCATACTTTGCAATACATGGTGGCTGTTGTTTCAGCAGATAATAGTTTGCAGGGTCTCAGGACATTGACTTTTGTGAGCAATGAACTTTCAAACTTCCCTTTTGTTTTCTGCAGTTTGAGACCTAATCATCCACTAGGGTATCCTTTTGTTTTTTTTGTGCTGCCATGGTCCTTTTGAGACCACTGGCAATGCCATTGGTCTGAATCACTAATTAAATTGTTTTCAGTTGACCCATGGCTGTATTACCAACAGTTTTCCCTTCATTGCTGTTGGTTAAAAAACCAGTACTCTAGCAGTTCCATATTGTACACATGAGACTTGAATGCACACTTTTTTAATACAACACGCCGGTAGTCTCCCACCGAGACAGAGTGCCCCATAAAAGAAAAACACTTATCACCATCATTCACACAATCATGATCTTTGTAGAGGTGTGCATATATGACAGTTCAGATGTTATTCCAAACAGCAAATATCCCAAACCCCTCCTTTAAAGTGCAAGCATTGTACTTCCCACCTCCAGGACTCAAGTTTGGCTAACTGGTTTCCCTAAATCCCTTCGCAAAATATTACCCTGCTCACACTCCAACAGCTAGTCACGTCCCAAAAACCATTCACTCCTATCTAACACACTCACACATTCCTGCTGTATGTCCAAGCCCCTTGCACACAAAACCTCTTTTACCCCTTCCATCCTTTCCTAGGACAACACCCTACCCCTCCTTCCCTCCACTACAGATTTATACACCCTCCAAGTCATCCTATTTTGCTCCATCCTCTCTAAATGACCAAACCACCTCAACTGTTTACCCTTCGCCTAATTTCCTGATTACACCACACATTGCCCTTAGACACGAAATGACATCTTGTAGAAACACCCAGCACTGCTCTTGAGAGGACTGTCAGGTCATGCTGGCAGTTTAATAACTTTCGACTGCCAAAAGTGTCATTATCAATGCCCTTCAGCACTTACACTTGATGCCTTCTTTTCCCAAAGTTCTACCTTAATTGTACTCTAATTTTTTTTTTAACAAGCTAACCAATTACATGAACTATAATTTTCTTTCATATTTATACTAATCCTGTATGCCTCTACCTCCTGTAAGTGCTCCTTACCAAGCAGTACTGAATGACCCACATGGTTGTTCATATAATGTGGCTACGCTGTTCTTATTAAAATATTAATTGAAACTAACCTTGTGTATTTAGATGATACAGAAGTGTTTTCAAGTGAAAAACTAAATGAAAACTGCATTTTTAAAATTTTCTCTGAGGGATTTCTGAATTCTGGCTTTCTGAAAGTCCCCCCACCCCCCAAGACTGGCATAATTCTGAACTTTCCCAGACTTTTAATTTTAAGCTATGAAGTATTTAATGTATTACATTATAGGTAAAATATTGCAAATGAAGTAGTTATAAAAAAAATGCATTTCATCTGAGTGTAATCATAATAGGTGGAGAATGAAGGAGTAGTTAGTTACCTGGCTGAGTAAACCCATCACACAAGTGAATCTTCCAAGCAAAAAGTGTAATGGCAAAATAAAGACATTGAGTTTGGATTTTATAATACTAAGAAGGACTGAGGTAAAACTTTAGGTAGGAATAAAATAACTGGTCTGATTATAACTTTATTAATGTACTACGGTATAGAGAAAATGAATAGGAAGCTGCTGTATAAATACAAGGTTGTATGCTTTATAAGAGCTTAAGAGAAGTAATTAGCACATGTACGAACATAGTATGAATTAAATATCTTTACATTTTGTCTTGCATTAACTACTATTGTATTCCCTATTTTTTTTAAAGTTGCCCAAATTTTGAAGAGTTGCATTTAATAATTGAAAAATAAGTACACCTACCATCCGACTTACGACCGAGTTCGGTTCTGAGAAACCAGTCATAAGTCGAAATGGACGTAAGTCGAACTTTACTACTGAATATCAACATCACATTTTTGTAATGACTATTTTATTGTTTTATTTTGGTATTTCATGTTTTACTTTACTTTATATGCTGTTAGTACTGTATTTTATACTGTATGGTTTAGGATAAACACTGTGTACAACACACAGTTGTTTATTTCCCAGAAATTTTGCATAAAAAACACGGTCGTAAGTCGGATGGTAGGTTACCATTAGTGACTAGAGCTATTGTGCTAAAGCAGATTTTAGGGTTTCAATAGGAGTAATACAATATCAGTTGAAGCATATAATTGCCTAATTATGCCGTTATCATTACAGGCAGTTAGAGAATTATGTATATAACTTGTACAGATTTTGTTAAGAGATCTTAATTTTTCTGGTTTAAAACTTTTGGTTTACATTGTTAGATGGAGTAAAAAAAAAAAAAAAAAAAAAAAAGTTAAATCAGCACACCCTGATAACTCTTTCTATTTAATTTTTTTTAAAGATTAAACAATGCTTAAACACTTCAGAGAACCATGAAAAATAAATTAAAAAACTGAAGGCAGGATGCCAACATGTGGTATGAAAGATGCCAGGTGCAGTGGCATCTTACGTTGGTACATTTCACCCATGGGCGGGCTTTAAGTACATGTACTTGGGGAAAAAAAGAAATCCACCCTTAGGTGGCATTGTACCAGTGAAAGATGACTGCAACTAGTGTCATTTTTACCAAAAATATGTTTTGTATACAAATTTGCTTTGCTAATTACTGTTGCACAAACACTGCATGTAGAGACAGATGCCTGTTAATACAAAGCATGATTATTCACCATCAGCTTAAGAAATTTTTATAATTTCAGAATATGAAATGTGTAAGCAATCTCATTGAAGATAATTATATGTCCACTATTTTATAATTGGTATATGTAATTTTTTTCTCTTCAGAAATTGGAAGAAGAATTTGAAAAACAGCTAAATGAACAGGAACAGTTTTATGGAGCTTACCTGAGCCGTAGCCTTGGTTCCAGTATGACTCCCTCACAATCAACTTCCAGTCTTGCTCGCTCTAATACATCCTAGAAGTACAAGCTACTGCCTACAGCAAGTATCTTACCTTTCACAAAAGTCATAAATGGAAGTCATGTTGAACTTAAAATAAAATGTTGAGTGGAATTGGGTATCCATGTTTACAAATTACTGGGATTTTTTGTAAGAGTGCTGTGTTCAAAAGTTAAAAAGTGAAAGATAACTTTGGTCAATATATTAACATTTGTAAATTTTGATGTTCTTTATGAGAACACTTAGTATTACAAAGTACTAAAGGCGCATGAAATGTCTGGTTGGCATTGATGAGTGAAACAAATTAGTGAATTATTTTAATTGTTTAAATACTGCCAGTTTATAACAGCAATTTGTTTACATTGTGCATACTCCAGTGGCTTGAAAATATCAGCACATGAATCAGTGCCCCCAAATTTCCCTGGCTGACTGTTGTTCAATAATCGATGAATATGAAAAAAGTATGCATGACACTATGAATTCTAGTGTCCATCCACTGCAGTTTGAAAAAATACAGCATCCACATGATCCAGGAAACCAGAATTACTGGCTAGGGTATTCTGCCTTCAAAGGTATGGTGAATATACCACCCCTTCCCTTCCCAAGTATCTAGGTTATATCCTAGAAGATCTCAGGTTGGCTCTACTAAGTAACTGGGTTATTATTGTGTCTTTAACTTCAGAGCAAAGTATTTAATCAAAATCTCCAATAGTCTACAATAATTATATATATTGTATTTCACATTCGGTGCAGGAGGGTAATTTTTGTAGTTTTGCCCTCTAATATCAAAATCACTTGTGCAGTCATTTTAATTTTTTACTTGGATTACTGACAATCACTATTGCTGTGTGAAAATGAAAATGTTATTGGTACAACACTGTAGCTCATATACAGACTTTGCAATATTTCCTATTATGTGCAATATGCAGACATGACAAAAACATTTGAAAGAAAAGAAAAAAAAATTGAAAAACTTTTGGTACATTTCTAACTTTTAGGACGTTTGCAGCCCACATTATGCAATTAAAAGGGACATATTTTAGGAAATGTGGATATATTGTACTTTCTTAAATAAATTTGTTACTCTATTTATTCATAATATATTCATTAAAACCAAACTGGGTACGAGAATTTTGTTTGCACAAATTCAGGAGTAACATGCATACACGATTAATGATCCCTCACGGTCAGCTATGTCAGTAGTGCAAATAATCTAGGTGAATATAAATCTTTAGTAAATACCATACAATATTTTTAAGCAACTAACATCCTCATCATATGCTCACAAATTACAAATGAACCGAATGGCAATTTTGATCTCTCTTGGAGGGACAAATCTCTTTCACTAACTTTAGTTTGTGGGCTATTTAAGATTGTTCTAGTCACAGTGTTGTGACTTTTGTTCATTAATATCCACATGATATATTGCCTAGAATTATTTGTGTAAAATAAATCTTTAGACAGTGGAAATGTTTTAAATAGCTGCACAAATTAGAGATGAAGTTGGCATACAAGAGCTTAATACTTATTAGGAGGGGTCTCATAGCTTTTTAAAATAGTTTGTGGAACATTTGAAGGTTTTCACAATGATATGTATATTTAAAATTTGCTTCCATATTGGAATGATTCAATTAGTGAGGTGTTTTATATATGTACCATAGTGTTATTTATGAATCCCACAAATTCTTTACTTAATAAATTATGTGCTCAATCAACTGAACTAATGTGCATAAAGCACATACTATTAAGCAATGTTTTGACAGTTATCTCCGTCTGAGAAAAGCAGCTTCATGGTCCAGGTCTACTTTGTTTTACTTTATAACTTTTATTGGAAAGGGATTCAGTTTTAGATTGATTTTCTGTAATCCATTCAAAATACAGCTATCGCTCTCTTAATTGAACTGAAGGATTGGGTGAAAAGGTTTTCAGATTACACATTTTTTATAATTTTTTTTTAGCTGGTTCAATAAATACATCAATGTATATTATTTGATAGAGATTTCTCTAACAAATTTACCACTTGTGCACAACTACCATGTACAAAAAGTAAAGCATAAAAATCAATTTTATTTCATTTAAATAGTTTCAGTACAAATTTGTACAAAAAAAAAAAAAAGCAAAACAAAGAGCATTATCTAAACAATACAAAATACAGAAGAGTATCAAGATGTATTATACATGTGTGGGCATTTACCCTGCCTCTGCAAAGTATGTTGTATTTTTTTTAACCTGTAGATTTTTACAGTGTACAGATATGAATCTTAAAATACAAGACATGAGACTAAAGATGAAAAAAAAGTTTGCTTTTAGCATATTAAAATTCCTGTTCATTCACATGGAAAATAACATCAAAACTTTGTCTTAGCTTCTAGATTAAGCTTTGACTGGTGTGTTATGATTCCAGGGATCACCACCCTCCCATAGCTCATTCTCAGACAGGCCTTCTAAGTTAGAAAAATTGTTGGAATAAAAACTTAATAAACTTTAGGAAATTGGAGACAGCGTAAAATGTTTTGAGAAGCTTCCACTTAGCTTTTATGACACTACACTATGCTTTCCTGGGTGGGTGCTGTTCAAACAAATTCATCCATTTTCATTTGGCTAATACTGTTACATCCCTATATTCTAAATTATCTGAACCCTTAACTATGGATATAAACTGGTAACCTAACTTGTACCTCCTAAGATATTACACAGTAGGTCCCAACTGAAGATAATTTGTATCTGAATTTTTTTTTTTAAAGTTGATTGTATGGAACATAGAACCCATTTTACCTAGACACCTATGTTATGACTGGATGTGTGTTCTCAAGCCATATTTTATTTCATTTAATTTTAAATAAAAATTTACAATACCTTGTATTTGGTAAAACAAGAGAAAAAAGTAATTTTTATAATTTAGCCATAAGAAAATCAAATATTAAGTCTGTAAATATTGACCAGTCTTTTTCAAACAAATGTAAATCTAGACATACTCAAAATGAACATACACAGTTTGAATATTTTTTAAATACGGACCAAGAAACCTTCAGGTTTAGCACCTTACCCCTTCCATGACTAATATCTAACTAAATTTTTTGAGTGTCTTAATTAGGGAAGTTCATTATATTGGAAGAGCAAGACCATGCTCACAAGTAATTAGTTTCAAAATGACTGTTGTTAAAAGTGGAATATTATGTCAGGGACCTACTGTACAATGCCTAAGGTAATTCAGATGTTTTTGAGGTTTATATGCTGTTCCACCTGAATGTCATCATTTCCCTCCACCCTAACAAGTTGATCTGTCATTAACAAAATATATCCTGGGTCCCCAAACATCAACACTTGTATTTCCTCTATATTTAGCTCCTCACCATCATCTCTGTACATTACCTTCTCTGCAAGGTGGGTGCCTTTATGCTAGCAAAGGAATTTTAATCCAGGGAATTGGAACTGTCCTCCAGTTCCCTTGTCTATACACAATTGAACAGAACACCAAAAGTGTTAGCTAAGGATAGCTTCATTTTAAACTTTTTATTCAGCTGGATCAGAAAAGTGATAGTATCCAAACTGATTCCGAAAGACCACGTCCCAGTTAAGAGTGCGATTACTGTATATGCTATAGTGATACTATGGTATTTTGTGGTATAAATTACTATTATTTACACGGTGGAAAATAAGATCTTGTTTTTTTTAGGATAAGTAGATAATGTGATTATAAGCATTGTAATTTATTAAAAAAGTTAAATATTTCTCTGATTTGGGAGATGCACAGTTGTCATTGTATTGTGAATGTTCAGCATCCTGATGTACACAGCCACTTACTGGATAATACACTTAAATATAAAATGCTCATAGTAATAGCTATTAGCTTTATAGTTATAACACTTGTTATATTGGTGAACTGTATTATACCGAAGCATTTTTACTTTGTATTCTGAGGTAATACTTTTGTTGGCTAAGTAGATCGTTTAACTTGCCTATGTGCATCTTTCAAGAAAAAACTGCACATCACCTGTAAGGAGTATTAGGTTTGAATCCTGATTTCTAAACTTGCCATCTGCAAATTATACTGCATACCACATTTATCAAAGTCTTTACTGAAGTATGATTTGCAATGAAACACTTTTTCTTAAATAGAAAAGTTGTAGTAAGAATTATCAGCTATAGGTTCATCATTCTTCCAATAAGCCAAGAGGTAATATTTTGGAAATTTGAAACAGTGATGGTATGACACTTAAATCTTAAAAACGTGTAGCATTTTAGTATTTTTAACTACAAAAATAATAACATAGCATCTTTAAACTGATTCTAACTATATTTGATGGACAAGAGGATTCTGCATATAATTTTTATTGGAAATAACCTTACACATTAAAATGTTTGGTTGCTTAGAATGATGAAATAAAGACCACTAATTTGTAATAGTTCATACATTATGCATACTGATCTTGTAAGATTGTGCATTGGTAGGTGTATGGACACAAAGCATTCAACTCGTGATCTGTGCCGAGCCTTTTGGTAAAGAATATTTTTTTTTAAATATACAGTACACTAATGGGATGCCTAGATTCCCTACAAATGTTATTCTTTGGAATGTGGAAATTAAAACAAAATGAAATTAATATTTTCACAGCATTCTAAGTCCAAACTTGGGCTCATCCTCAGTGTTATGGACCTGCCATTACCTCTGCCTTCTGCCATCTTTTTGTACTTAGAAATAATTGACTTTAACAAAGTACTTTTATCAGTCATTTGATGTTTAGTCATTTGAATAGCTTTCAGAGTTTTACGTACTGTACATATTAATGTACGATAAACTTTTTCAGTGTTTTCCAAGTCGAAGGGAAATATTTTTTTGAAAAATCTTTGTATTGGTAAACTATTCCATCCTGCTCGGGTCAAAACTTGTACTGTGTGGATGTTTACTTTTATGACCAATAAATAATAGGTAGACTATCACCTTTGTAAATTTTAATTTCTTTCGGATTTTCATGCTTATTTGAGACATCGTTAGGTCCTATATAGGTATTATAATATGACTGTTTTGTTTTCGTTCATAGGATCGTCCATTTTCGGACAAACCGACTGTAAAAAATCCAGTAAGAAATATGTTTACATATATAATTGTTAAAAATATGAAGTGTAAAGAAATAAATTGCTTTATTAAGATGTGTTTTATTACTACTGTCCTGAGCAGTTCATAAAACATCCTGTAAAATTATGGGATTTCATAATTGTTAGAACAGTTGAGGGAGACTGTTACTGTCTTCTGTCACAGTGGTTGCAAAGGAAAATTTTGAAGTATCTGGACATTCCCCTTTGTCCTGTCAAATTTTTTCTTCATAACTGCAATTGGAAGTTGACAAAATTTAAAGTTCAATGTAATTTTGGGATATTTACTATTATTATTATAATCAAAAAGAAGCGCTAAGCCACAAGGACTATACAGCGCTGCCTCTTCAAGGGGGGCTCATTGGCGTGGTGAAGAGGCTCTTGGTCTGAGGAATTAGCCCTGTCGGTCTTCTTCCTCAGACCGAACCTAATTACCCCCCATTCTCCCCTCCCCTTTTTCCATTCCTCCTCCTCCTCCTCCTCACCCCTCCCTTTTGCCCTTCCTCTTTTTGGCCTTTGGGATTTCTCCCACAGGCGCGCTAGTTCCTAGGTAGGGGAAAGGACACTGGGGTCCATCCCATTCCGTTGAGGTTCTTGGCGGTGGCGTAGTTTGCCGTGAAATCTGGATTGCCTGGGGATGTCCCGATCCCTCTCCAGTATCCCAGAGTAGCTTTGGGTGTCTTTCGGGCGACGGGTGTATCTCTGGAAGCCACCTTTCGGATTCTGGGGGTGGTGGCCGAAGGAGGTATGCTTTGTGGCGGATATCCGGCCGCCCTCTTTTGTCCACCGAGGTAGCTCGGCGGATGTGAGGTTGCGATCCCGGATTGCTGGTTTACTGGCATGAAGGGTAGGGTATGGCACGGGTTCCATGCTGCATCTGCGCTACTAGCGGTGTTGAGGTCCTCTTGGGCGCGGAGGGAGATTTCCGGCCCTTTCATTCCTCCTGGGAACTATTCTTCCCTGCTCCCCCCTTTTCTTATTCTTTTTTTTATTTTTATTTTCTTTTCTTTTTTTTTCTTAAAAACAAAAAGCAAAGGAGTAACCTAACCATGGCAGCCCTAGTCCATGAACCCACTACCCCCGGGCCCCTTCTTGATACCGCACCCCATTCTGAATCTGCCTTGTTTAGACCACTCTTCGGACACTCCTGATGCCCCTGTACCTCTTGCTGGTGCTGTTTCCTCACCCGCTTCAGGTACCGGGGCTTCGACTGACTCCTTTGATTTGTCTGAACTCCGCTCTCCTTTGACTATGCTTCCGGCTTCTCCCTCTACGGTACGGCAATTTTCGAATCGCCCGCCCATTTCATGCCGGACCAACTCCGGTCCTACTCCTAAATGCCAACGTCAATCTCCTGATGATGCTCCTTCGTTACCTTCCCATTCTACTCGGAAAAGACCGACACGTCAAGCACTCCCTCTCCACGCTCAGTTTCGGACCACACAATGGACTAAATTCTTTACTTTAAGACTGACTTCTTCTTCTGCCTACCTTTCTGACCATAGTATTGGCAAAGCGCTCCTGCGTCATATTGGTAGAGATATTTCATTTCATGCTCTCGAGCAGTATGCGCATCGTCACTGTCCAGAATGCTACCCTGCATGATCTTTCTCTCCTTTCGAATATCGATGCTACTCCTATCACTATTGAAAAACATCTTTCTCTCAATTCTTGTAGTGGTACTGTCATTCTGCCCCATACCATAGTCCAACAGAATTTCCAGTCATGTGGCAATGACATTTTTGAACAGCTGGAACTCCAGGATCTCCCAATCCTCAAAGTAGACACTTATGTCCTTCCTGCCCGGGGGCGGAGACGTTACCCTTGCAATGTGGCTTGTTTAACTTTTGACAGCCGAGAACTCCCGTCCTCTGTATATGTCGCGGGACATCGGTTACAAGTTCGAAAAGTGATACCTACACCGCAACAATGTAGAAATTGCTGGGGTTTTGGTCACCCAGCGAAATATTGCAGATCTATGGCCGAATGCCCAGTCTGTGGTGCCGACGACCATTCTAATACATCTTGCAGTCAACCTCCATCTTGCCTTAATTGTAATGAAGCTCACCCTTCGTACTCCCGCCGTTGCCAGGTCTACTTAAATGAACGTGAAATCCGTTGCCTCAAAGAGGCAGAAGGTCTCCCTTATGCTATGGCAGTTACTCATCTCCACCTCCAAGGGAGACTACCCCATGTTTCTTATTCTCGTGTTTCCAAACATCCCCCCACTTCTGGGGTCCCATCTTCTGCAGCCTCCTTTGTTGTTACCCCTCCCATAGCCACTACGGCATCTAATCCTTTTGCTGTCTTTGGCTCTGACGTCCCGACTACAACTCAGTCTGTTCTCACATCTTCGCGTCCTTCCTCACAAGCCCCAGTATCGACAAGACCTCGTACGACACCTAATACCAATCGCCCCTCTCCTCAGAAGTCCAAAAAATCCACATTGCTCAAATCTTCTTTGCCCCTTCCTTCCCTTCTTCCACCTCCACACTTTACCTTTACAGTCTCTGTACATAGTTCTTCCCCTCTCTCTGGCTCTATTACAAGTGTGGAGATTCACCCTCCTCCTCGTACTATGCCTTCCACCCCTGTCCCCTCCCAAGTTTCTCCCTCTTCTGCCACCTCCCAGGTTTCTGCCTCTTCTGTCCCCCCCCACATTTCATCTCCAGTCCCTTACACTCTTCCCTCCCCCTCTACTTTGGTACAGTCCATTACTGTCCCAATCTTTACTCACCCTCCTTCTATCTCCAATATGGTCTCCCATACATCTTTGAATTCAGAAACACTTGAAGCCATTTCAGAATATATTGCAGAGACTAAACCTTCAATGGACACTGATTCACTTCCTGTTCCTTCTCTTCCCTCTCCTCCATCTTCACAACCCCATTCTTCGTAACGCTCCGTTACTTCGCTACTTGAACGTCTTCCAATGCCACCACACGTTGACTTTTCTAACCCCTCTAGTCCGTAGGTACCTTTACCTACAGATTCCTGATATTTTCTTCATCGCCAATCATGGCCTATTTACAGTGGAATATCCGCGGCCTCAGGGGTAATCGGGGTGAGCTTCAGATGTTGCTTTCCAGGTTTTCCCCTGTTGGTGCTTGCTTACAAGAACCAAAATTACACTCGGCTGTTTTCCAACCTATCTCAGGCTATAATTTATTGTATTCTTCGGATCCTTTCTCAGATGGGACCTTTAATGAAAGTGCCCTTCTTCTACGCAAAAGATATTCCGTACTGTCAACTATTTGTCCATACCTCGCTGCATTACACTGCAGCCCGTATCCACTTGAATAAGTGGTTTACAATATGTTCTTTATATCTTTCTCCTTCTCGAGCATTTTCTATCCCAGACTTTGCCTTTCTTGTTTCATCCTTACCACCACCACTTCTGTTACTTGGTGATTTTAATGCCCACCATTTCCTCTGGGGAAGGGGTCTCATTGTGACTCACGTGGCATTCAGTTGGAGGCTTTTCTCGCCTCTCGCCTCTCACCCCCTCCATGTTTTAAATACGGGTACTCCCACCCATTTTGATCCTCGTACTCATACTCTCTCTCGCATTGATCTATCAGTCTGCTCTTCCTCCACTGCACTAGACTTCACCTGGTCTGTTCTACCAGACTTACATGACAGCGATCATTTTTCCGATCATTCTTACTTCTCCTTCCTATTCACCACCTTTCCGTAGCCCTCGCTGGCAATTTGATCGGGCAAATTGGGATCTTTACTCACACCTCACTGCTTTTAGTGAGGTTCCTTCTTCATCCTCCGTCGATGAGCTCCTACACATCTTCTCGACGTCAGTTTATACCGCAGCTTCTCATTCTATACCCCAAACCTCAGGCAGGCATTCTCAGAAGTGCGTGCCTTGGTGGTCTCCTGCTTGTGCTCGTGCAGTACGTTTGAAACGTGCTGCATGGGGCAGGTACCGGTACAATAGAACCGCTGAGAGACTTCTTGATTTTAAGCAGAAGCGTGCGATCGCTCGCCGTGTCATCCGTGAAGCTAAACGCACTTGTTGGCGAGACTATGTTTCCACCATCACCTCTGCTTCTTCTATGAGTGCAGTCTGGAAAAAAGTGAGGAAATTGAGTGGTAAATACTCTCCTGACCCAGCTCCTGTTCTACGGGTTGCTGGTGTTGATGTAGCAAACCCTCTTGACGTTGCCATTGAACTTGGCACACATCTGGTCCGTATTTCTCGAGGGCTCCATCTATGCCCCTCGTTTCTTTCCTCAAAGTCTGCCAGAGAGTTAGTACCCTTGGACTTTTCTTCTCTCAGAGAAGAACAGTATAATGTGCCTTTTACACTTCAAGAACTGGAGGCAACACTCTCAGCTTGCCGATCATCGGCAGCTGGGCCTGACGACATTCATATCCGTATGTTACAACATTTACATCGGTCAGCCCTTGTAGTCCTCTTACACCTCTACAATCTTATTTGGGCACAAGTTCTTCCCCAGCTGTGGAAATCTGCCATTGTTCTCCCTTTCCGCAAACCGGGTACTACAGGACATGATGCCTCCCACTATCGCCCCATCGCTCTTACTAGTGCAGTTTGCAAAGTGATGGAACGTCTCGTAAATCGACGTTTAATGTGGTATTTAGAGACACACAACAGTCTCTCCGCTAGTCAATATGGCTTTCGTAAGGGTCGTTCTACCATAGACCCCTTACTACGCTTGGATACGTATGTTCGTAATGCCTTTGCGAATAATCACTCAGTTATTGCCATATTTTTTGACCTTGAGAAGGCATATGACACAACTTGGAGGTATAATATTTTGGCCCAGGCCCATTCCTTAGGCCTCCGAGGCAATCTACCATCCTTCCTTAAGAACTTTTAACTGACAGACATTTCCGTGTTCGAGTCAATAATGTTCTTTCCCTGGACTTCGTCCAAGCTGAAGGTGTCCCTCAGGGATGTGTTCTAAGCACAACACTTTTTCTCCTTGCTATAAATGATTTGGCCTCTGTTCTTCCACCCAATATTTGGTCATCACTCTATGTTGATGACTTCGCTATTGCTTGTGCAGGCGCTGACTGTCATCTTATTGCAGTTTCTCTCCAGCATGCGGTCGACCGTGTTTCCACTTGGGCCACCACACATGGGTTTAAATTTTCAAGTACCAAAACTCACCAAATTACTTTCGCTAGACGCTCTGTTATCTCCGATCATCCTTTGTATCTCTATGGCTCCCGTATCCCCGAACGTGATACAGTCAGGTTTCTAGGCCTTCCTTTGACCGTCGGTTTATCCTGGAAACCTCACATAACCTCTCTGAAGGCAACTTGTCACAGCCGGCTAAACCTTCTTAAAACCCTTGCTCATCTTTCCAGGGGAGCTGATCATCGAACTCTGCTTCGCCTACATTCAGCCCTCGTTTTATCGAAACTCGATTATGGTGACCAGATTTATTCCGCGGCCTCTCCTGCTACTCTCTCTAGCCTTAACTCTATCCATCACCAAGGATTATGTTTGTGCCTTGGTGCTTTTCGCTCTTCCCCCGTTGAGAGCCTCTATACAGAAGCGAATGTTCCATCCTTGTCTGATCGCCGTGATGCCCATTGCCTTCGCTACTATGTACGCTCTCACGATATATACAATCCTTCCATTTATAGAATGGTCACCGATATTAGTAGACATTCTTTATTCGTTCGCCGCCCCTGTTTGCTCCGTCCCTTTTCTCTTCGCCTACATTCACTCTTGTCTTCCCTTCAGTTACCACCTTTATATGTTCATGTAGCATCTCACTTTTCCCTACCCCCCTGGGAAGTTCCAGCTGTTCGGGTCTGTTCTTTCTCACTCCCTTGCTCGAAAGCTCAACTGCCTACGGTGGCTTCCCGCTCTCTTTTTCTTGATCACTTCCACTCCCATTCTCATGCCACCGCTGTGTACACAGATGGCTCTAAGTCTTCAGACGGCGTCGGATTCGCAGCAGTGTTTCCGGACAGCATCGTGCTGGGACATTTACTATCTTCAGCTAGCATTTTTACTGCTGAACTGTATGCCATTCTTGCAGCACTTATTCGTATTGCATCTATGCCTGTGTCATCATTTGTAGTAGTCTCAGACTCCCTTAGTGCTCTACAGGCTATACGAAAATTTGATACATCTCATCCCCTAGTTCTCCGTATCCAACTTTGGCTACGCCGTATCTCTACCAAACAAAGTTATTGTTTTTTGTTGGGTCCCTGGTCATGTCGACGTACAGGGCAATGAACAGGCAGACACTGCTGCGTGGTCAGCGCAGAAGAAGAAGGAACCTCACTAAAAGCAGTGAGGTGTGAGTAAAGATCCCAATTTGCCCGATCAAATTGCCAACGAGGGCTACGGAAAGGTGGTGAATAGGAAGGAGAAGTAAGAATGATCGGAAAATGATCGCTGTCATGTAAGTCCGGTAGAACAGACCAGGTGAAGTCTAGTGCAGTGGAGGAAGAGCAGACTGATAGATCGATGCAAGAGAGAGTATGAGTACGAGGATCAAAATGGGTGGGAGTACCCGTATTTAAAACATGGAGGGGGTGAGAGGCGAGAAAAGCCTCCAACTGGATGTCACGTGAGTCACAATGAGACCCCCCCCCCTAGAGGAAATGGTAGGCATTAAAATCACCAAGTAACAGAAGTGGTGGTGGTAAGGATGAAACAAGAAAGGCAAAGTCTGGGATAGAAAATGCTCGAGAAGGAGAGAGATATAAAGAACATATTGTAAACCACTTATTCAAGTGGATACGGGCTGCAGTGTAATGCAGCGAGGTGTGGACAAATAGTTGACAGTACGGAATATCATTGCATAGAAGAAGGGCACTTTCATTAAAGGTCCCATCTGAGAAAGGATCCGAAGAATACAATAAATTATAGCCTGAGATAGGTTGGAAAACAGCCGAGTGTAATTTTGGTTCTTGTAAGCAAGCAACAACAGGGGAAAACCTGGAAAGCAACATCTGAAGCTCACCCCGATTACCCCTGAGGCCGCGGATATTCCACTGTAAATAGGCCATGATTGGCTATGAAGAAAATACCAGGAATCTGTAGGTAAAGGCACCTACGGACTAGAGGGGTTAGAAAAGTCAACGTGTGGTGGCATTGGAAGACGTTCAAGTAGCGAATGAATGGAGCGTTGCGAAGAATGGGGTTGTGAAGATGGAGGAGAGGGAAGAGAAGGAACAGGAAGTGAATCAGTGTCCATTGAAGGTTTAGTCTCTGCAATATATTCTGAAATGGCTTCAAGTGTTTCTGAATTCAAAGATGTATGGGAGACCATATTGGAGATAGAAGGAGGAGGGTGAGTAAATATTGGGACAGTAATGGACTGTACCAAAGTAGAGGGGGAGGGAAGAGTGTAAGGGACTAGAGATGAAGTGTGGGGTGGGGACAGAAGAGGCAGAAACCTGGGAGGTGGCAGAAGAGGGAGAAACTTGGGAGGGGATGGGGTGGAAGGCATAGTACGAGGAGGAGGGTGAATCTCCACACTTGTAATAGAGCCAGAGAGAGGGGAAGAACTAGGTACAGAGACTGGAAAGGTAAAGTGTGGAGGTGGAAGAAGGGAAGGAAGGGGCAAAGAAGATTTGAGCAATGTGGATTTTTTGGACTTCTGAGTAGAGGGGCGATTGGTATTAGGTGTCGTACGAGGTCTTGTCGATACTGGGGCTTGTGAGGAAGGACGCGAAGATGTGAGAACAGACTGAGTTGTAGTCGGGACGTCAGAGCCAACGACAGCGAAAGGATTAGATGCTGTAGTGGCTATGGGAGGGGTAACAACAGAGGAGGCTGCAGAAGATGGGACCCCAGAAGTGGGGGGATGTTTGGAAATACGAGAATAAGAAACACAGGGTAATCTCCCTTGGAGGCGGAGATGAGTAACTGCCATAGCATAAGGGAGACCTTCTGCCTCTTTGAAGCAACGGATTTCACCTTCATTTAAGTAGACCTGGCAAGGGCGGGAGTACGAAGGGTGAGTTTCATTACAATTAAGTCAAGATGGTGGTTGACTGCAAGATGTATTAGAATGGTCGTCGGCACCACAGACTGGGCATTCGGCCATAGATCTGCAATATTTCGCTGGGTGACCAAAACGCCAGCAATTTCTACATTGTTGCGGTGTAGGTATCACCTTTCGAACTTATAACCAATGTCCCGCGAGATATACAGAGGACGGGAGTTCTCGCTGTCAAAAGTTTAAACGAGCCACATTGCAAGGGTAACGTCTCCGCCCCCGGGCAGGAAGGACATAAGTGTCTACTTTGAGGATTGGGAGATCCTGGAGTTCCAGCTGTTCAAAAATGTCATTGCCACATGACTGGAAATTCTGTTGGACTATGGTATGGGGCAGAATGACAGTACCACTACAAGAATTGAGAGAAAGATGTTTTTCAATAGTGATAGGAGTAGTATCGATATTCGAAAGGAGAGAAAGATCATGAGCTTGGATAGCATTCTGGACAGTGATGATGCGCATACCGCTCTTGAGAGCATGAAATGAAATATCTCTACCAACATGATGCAGGAGCGCTTTGCCAATACTATGGTCAGAAAGGTAGGCAGAAGAAGAAGTCGGTCTTAAAGTAAAGAATTTAGTCCATTGTGTGGTCCGAAACTGAGCGTGGAGAGGGAGTGCTTGACGTGTCGGTCTTTTCCAAGTAGAATGGGAAGGTAACGAAGGAGCATCATCAGGAGATTGACGTTGGCGTTTAGGAGTAGGACCGGAGTTGGTCCGGCGTGAAATGGGCGGGCAATTCGAAAATTGCCGTACTGTAGAGGGAGAAGCCGGAAGCATAGTCAAAGGAGAGCGGAGTTCAGACAAATCGAAGGAGTCAGTTGAAGCCCCGGTACCTGAAGCGGGTGAGGAAACAGCACCAGCAAGAGGTACAGGGGCATCAGGAGTGTCTGAGAGTGGTCTAAACACAAGGCAGGGTCAGAATGGGGTGCGGTATCAAGAAGGGGCCCGGGGGTAGTGGGTTCATGGACTAGGGCTGCCATGGTTAGGTTACTCCTTTGCTTTTTGTTTTTAAGAAAAAAAAAGAAAGAAGAAAAGAAAATAAAAATAAAAAAAAGAATAAAAAAAGGGGGGAGCGGGAGGAATAGTTCCCAGGAGGAATGAAAGGGCCGGAAATCTCCCTCCGTGCCCAAGAGGACTTCAGCACCGCTAGTAGCGCAGATGCAGCATGGAACCCGTGCCATACCCTACCCTTTATGCTAGTAAACCAGCAATCCGGGATAGCAGCCTCACATCTGCCGAGCTACCTCGGTGGACAAAAGAGAGGGCGGCCGGATATCCGCCACAAAGCATACCTCCTTCGGCCACCACCCCCGGAATCTGAAAGCTGGCTTCCAGAGATACACCCGTCGCCCGAAAGACACCCAATGCTACTCTGGGATACCGGAGAGGGATCGGGACATCCCCAGGCAATCCAGATTCCACGGCACACTACGCCACTGCCAAGAACCTCAACGGAATGGGATGGACCCCAGTGTCCTTTCCCCTACCTAGGAACTAGCGCGCCTGTGGGAGAAATCCCAAAGGCCAAAAAGAGGAAGGGCAAAAGGGAGGGGTGAGGAGGAGGAGGAGGAATGGAAAAAGGGGAGGATGGGGAGGATGGGATAGGGGAGGGGAGAATGGGGGGTAATTAGGTTCGGTCTGAGGAAGAAGACCGACAGGGCTAATTCCGCAGACCAAGAGCCTCTTCACCACGCCAAGGAGCCCCCCTTGAAGAGGGGGACATTTACTATAAACCCTTCAGTATTGTATTTGAAACTGAAGACTAGGGTCATGACTAGCAGATGGAGGATGATGCCTCCATTATGGCTTGTGCTGAATTACCCACATGAATTTAGTCCATGAAATAGTTACATTAGAGTTAAGCCAATCCCCAACTTCATCCTGTTACACTTCAGTCAGATTTTTTTTTTTGTGATGGGAGGATTGCTAGTTAGCCATGCCAAGGAGCACCATAGTCAAGACAGTGCTGTTCCCACAAGTGGACTGTGCATGGGGATCCATATATTTTACTTTTTTTTTTCCTTAACCTTGAAATTGAGTACCCTGAAGCTGTCTTCATAAAGGGTACTTCGCCAGAGCAAAGGGGGCCCTTGATCCAAGGAATTGTACATTTTCTTCTCTTGGACTGAATCTAAATACTCCCTTCCCCTACATTTCCCTTTTATCTCATCAGAGGGGATATTCCTCTTGTGAAACTGCTTCAAGTTTAGTGAACCACCACAAGTGTTACGCAAAATCCAGCAACTAGACAAGGAAAAGTAGTCTATATGCCCTGGTCTAATTTACCAGTCCATCGGTAGTGCTGCAATGGTTCTCTCTCCACCCAGCGTCTATGGATTATCTTGATTCACACGAGATGACCCTTGGAGAGATACGGGAAGCAGTGTGGCAGGCCCCTTTGATAAAAGTATTACTGGAGGTTGCCTGTAGATCCAGGACTGACCAGTGAAGGTGTAGGACTCCTGGTGTTCTTGCCTGTTTACCCACCATTACCTGCAAGACAATTTTACAGTTCATGATCATGCATGAACAGTTTTATAAGCCTTGTTCAGGCAATTCAGGAGGTACTATCCTGGTGTTATTTACCACACAGGGTAAGAGGTGGTCTCCAGGGAGCAGCATTACCCGTTGCAATGGAGAAGACTGATTCATTGTGGGTACTTGCTTTCTTCTCGCTATTCTTTGAGCTTCTTTACCTTATGATAAATGAGAAATTTATTTATTCTCTTGGATCCCAAGTAACGCAACACCCTCTATGAACTCTCCTGCCAAGCCGTGGACCCTTCCAGAACTTGTGTTCTACCTGTCCCCTCTGACTCTCATTACTGTGACATGGAGTCACCTTCCATGATGCTGTGATTCATAGGTTGCCCACCAAGACACTGACAGACAACACCTGACAGTGCACACCGCAGTCACTTGACAAAAGAAAATACCTTTTCATTGCAAACAAGGAATCTTGAATGATCATGTACTTGCACACAGACTCATAACTCATACTGGCTGACACTTAAAAATTGGTATGTGCATGAGCATTAATACTTCCCCACACCATTGTTAGGACCCCTGTGACTGTACGGCAACACTCCACCCTCATTTCATGCCAAGAATGAATTGTTATCCCTCACACAAGACTAAACAGACAGCTATGGGTATACAAAACGGTTAGAATTTGTTACACTTGATCACGATTGAAACCTGTGCCCACTCTTTACACTGGCAGCCAGTATCTGATTAATGCAGCTGAACTTTTGTATGATGACCATGACGAACATTCCTCAGTATACATACCAGGTCAGCGTTTACTAGTTAGGGAGCTCAGATCGACAACACAACAATAACAAATACTGGCACTACGGTCTCTCTGGCTAAACATAGGTCACTGGAACAATATTTAATCTTTGGAAACATAACCTATATTATGTCTCCCTTTCCTGCCGTTGCCCAGCAGTGATCGTAGCCACTCTCATTGCTGAGGTCCAGGTAATAAACCCTGGAGATTAACATAAAAAAAAACTGCAAAGAATCGCATCCCCTTTATACTTGCTGGCATCCTGTACCAATACTCTGAAAGAGATCGAGGGTTTGTCATATAATTAGGCAGTTACTGGACTCCTACAGGGTAGAATACCCTTATGCAGTTCTCAAAGCTGCTGGTCGCACCATCGTTTAGCTCTTATAATAATAATAATAAATAATAATAATAATAAATAATAAATAATAAATAATAATAAATAATAATAAATAATGATAATAATAATAAATAATAATAATAATGATGATGGTCCCACCTTGCAACCACACTACCGACATTCTTTTTTAGCTGCCTCTTCAACACAAACCAGAAATACCTCCGAAATCTGTCACTTACAGACGTAGCAACACTGCTTTTCCTTCACGAACATTCTCTGATTAACAAAGACTTTACTGCTACGTTAATCCCCCCCTACCTCCCCCAAGGGAGATTCTTTGAAGCTAGTGAACTCTTGATACCTAAGAACTGGACTTGACCTCGCCTTCCTTGAACTGAACCTTATTGTCTTTCCCCAGGAGCTGTATAATCCCTATGGGTTTAGTGCCTAACCAAAACAAAAAAAAAGTAGTGTATGTGGAAAAAATTATATATTAACCCAGGTAGTGAGCGAGTTCAGGATAGTAGACTGTAGGGTAGTAGATTGTAGAGAAAAGTAATGGGAGGGGGAACACAGGTGATAAGAGGCATGGAAAGGTAAGGGGAGGAAGCGGAAGATAAAGACGAGAGGATGATCAGGAAGAGGAAAGTTGAAGGGGAAGGGGAAGGGGAAGGGGAAGGGAGAGAAAGAAAGGGCACTCACCAAGAGATCAACATTTCTAGTCTCTCTCCCCCTCATTTGCATATCACCTAAGTAACACTCCCATCCCAGGTATGTTTCGTATATTACAATCCCAATTTTCGCTCTTGTATTTTCATATTCATTGCAACATTGTAGCTATTTTTGACGGCGGAATAAAAATATTCGTATATGAATAAGAATTAATTTGCGGCATCCACAGTGACACAAGTTGCCATGCCCCGTCAACCCTGGCTCTTACCTGCACGTCAAGGTGTCAGCCAGGAGTGGATGGACCTGTGGATGGTGTGGTAGACGGGAGGACGATGTAGCTGATGTACGGTTCAGACATTTCTCATATAGCAAAATTATTTCCCATCTGGAATGTGTATAAATGCATAATCTAGCTCTAAACATAGATTAATATATATAAATTTCCTACACTAACTCAATAAGAATCACATACCATTATAGTGGGGTTGGGTTACATTGAACATTAGCTGCAGGACGGGAGATACAACGAACATATAGTGTTCAACAAGGGTCTGACAGGGAACAAAAAACCATACAGAATAATTAATGAAGACGACAGATGAGAGAGTTTATCAAAACTTATCAAAAGTTTAAGCGTACTTTGTTAATAATAAAAAAAAAATCCACTAAGTCACTACCATAAGTTTGAATAGTCTATTATGTTTTCATATATTAAAGGAACACTGAAAACTCGGGGTTATATATAGTTCAACTACGTGTGTACCGAGAGGCGTATATCTCAAGTGTAAGTAAATTCAACGAGTTTAATCCATGTTTCAGGGCTTAAAGTATTCTTGACTGGTAGTGAACAGTTTACGTGAAACATTAATGAGACTCTTAATACCCACTTAACCAATTAACCAACCAGTTCTCAAAGGTGAACTGGACAAGAATCTTCCAGGTACAGTTGCACAAGCTGGCAATTAGGAGACAAACTATACCTAGAGAAGCTCCGCACATCCCCATGGAAAGTTTAATGGCCAGTATCGAAAGCCCACCAGTTTATTTTTTTTTGTAGCGAGGTCTTTTTCTATGAAAAAGAGAAGTTGGCGTGATGGAGCTGCTTGTTTCACCAATTATTTCCCACAAACCTGCAAAACTCCTGTATATGTAACTGTCCATGAAGACTACGATAGCTCTGACCAGGACCTTCGCCCGAAATAGTACATTTCCGGCGTGTTTTCATAATTATCGTGAAGCAAAGTCACTATGGAGGGATTCTGAAGAGGATCGAAAGCCCACATTACCATGGGAAGCACTAAACCCGAAGGGATTATACAGCGCCGGTGGGGGGGGGGAATATTTAAGACATTCAGGGTTAGGGAAGTGGAGCATAGATCCAATTCCCTAGATCAAGATCCCCTCACCAGCATCAAGAAACCTACCTTGAAGGGTCCAAAGCCCACAGGAATAGTAAATACACTCGGGAGATCCAGGAGCCGGAACTCAACCCAGTTGAACACTTACAATACGAGACCAAACAGATTAAACTAGGTTGGCTATGTCCGTAGAGTTTTGCTGAAAGATGTGAAGGGGACGAGAAACACCAGTGCTTGTCAGGGGGAGAGTAAGTAAGTAAGTAGTAGTTAAGGGGCACGTAAATTCCCCCGTCTTCTAATAACATGTTCATTTTGCCACTATAATCTACCTTCTCCATAATTACTATTGCATTTGCTTTGTTTCGTAAGGTGAAGTCCAGGATCTTTCCTTAATTCATGGTACAACTTAACAAATCTTTGATGACAGTTGTGTTGTAGAGGTCTGAGCTTTTGGTATTAGAAGACGATGGAACTTACGTGCCTCTTAACTGATACTGTTGTAGTAAAGAAACCAATAGACTGATCTTAATTATCCTCCATCCTCGCAGGGAATATGTTAAAGTCCCAAAAACTTAAAATTAAATTATACAAGAATTATGCTTAATTTTCTAAATTTGTCGGGTTTAAGATAAAAACTGATATCTCCTAAGCGGTTAGAGAATTGCCTAAAAACAATAGTATGCTGCAGATTTAAGGTGATATGAAGTTCACAACTTTTTTTTTTTTTTTTTTTTTTTTTTTTTTTTAGTGTGGAACCTGGTTTTATATTGTATAAATAAAAAGGCTGTTTGAAATTTCCCAGTTGTCTCTCTGCCGTACATCTTTCTCTCCCTACCACCTACCATCAGGCTTCTCACCTTAACACGCGCCTCACCACATCCCTCTACACCACATCCCGCTACATATTCCGCTACACCAAATCCCGGTACACCACATCCCGGTACACCACATCCCGCTACAACACGTCCCGCTACAACACGTCCCGCTACAACACGTCCCGCTACAACACGTCCCGCTACAACACGTCCCGCTACAACACGTCCCGCTACAACACGTCCCGCTACAACACGTCCCGCTACAACACGTCCCGCTACAACACGTCCCGCTACAACACGTCCCGCTACAACACGTCCCGCTACAACACGTCCCGCTACAACACATCCCACTACACCCGTGAAACACACGCTATCAGTGTACCTCAAAGGGAATTTCCTGGACGATTCAGCATCATTTTTCTCTATATAAATCTGCGCTCAACAGAAACAAGGAACTCCATCCATCACCCGCTCATCCGAACTCTTTCCCACCTAGCACTCATTCATCCGGAGTATCCCCATCCAGCACCTATTCATCCATACCTCTCCCCATTAAGTACCTATGTATCCATACCCTTCCCCAGTCAGTACTCGTTCATCCGGACCGAGAAATTTGTCCGCTTCAGCACGAGCGGCTTTCGGTACAGCGCCTAAATCTTTTCAGGCTTATTAGAACCCTGCTGTTGGGTTGGCGGCTGTGATAATGGAGTATTGAGATTAATATTAGAGCGAGTTTATATATTGTAGGATCAGCCTGACAGGCGGCTCTTAACCATTGCCCCCCTCCCCCCCCAGGCCTAAATTCTAGGTATACTGTTAGACAATCTTTGAGACACGAAATTTGAGGACCTCGGCTCCTTAAATTTTGTTTCTTGTAATGTATTTAATCAGATACCGTCAGGTGTGTATTACACTGTCTTTGCTACACTACTACCCTCGTTACACTGTCTACTGCCTTAGTTTCACTGTCTTCATTACATGTGGCTGTAGAGTATCGCCCACCCGATGTTTTGGCCGACGAAACCGCTAAAGTACTTGACATTTTTGGTAACGATATTATACCTCTTAAATTACAAGAAAACTCTAAACCTGAAGGACTCGTACAGCTCCAATTACCTTCCTCAACTATCGTAAACAATCCTACAAGCTTGAAACAGCTTGTTATTCACTGTACATAGACACTAACTTGCGTGACTGGCAAGGGCGTAAAATATTTCGCCATAAATGACGCCTTATAGTTTACCTACTCGTCTTCAGAACGTAGGCATCCTACAGCACCTGGAAAAGGGGATGTAGTTAGATTTGATCCAGGGTAGGGAAGGATGATTGGGAACCGTGGTAAATGTTTGCAGTCTGTGCATGTTCCCCCCCCTCCACCAGAGAAATAGGGCAAGATTTGTGGTAAGCCATCAAATAGGGTATTAATATATTCATAGAGAAGCGCTAAACCCACAGGGGTCATACAGCTTCGGGGGGAGGGGGAACTGGAGACAAGGAGGCTCGATCTAAAGAAAGAAATACACAGGTCGAGTTATTAGCAGAACCAACCCCTCACCGGCATCAAGGAACCTCCCTGGAGGGGACACTAATGGAAACAGATTCCAACTCCACGTTCAGTGAGGCGAAGCGCATGTGATCCTCATCTAACCTAGTCTCTAGACGCTGTTGTTTAAGAGGCCTCGCTTGTTGTTATAACCGTCACACACAAAAATGCAGGATATTACGACAAAAGACGCTAGCAGGAGTGATCATGAAACAGGCATGGGCCAGTCAAAACTGCTGGACACAGTCAGGCGATACGCTGCCGCACTTCTCTTATTCTCAAGAGGTCTACCTGACCCTAACAACTTGTGTTTTTCTTACTGGAACGAGTTGTGTAATAAGTTGTACACGTATTTACTCACTAGCTCCGTGACAGACTGTGCATCATTCTGAATATACTGGCATCAGGCTCTGGATTGCTGTTGCCTTTATGTACACTTAGATGTTGAAGATTGAGACACTTATGCAACATATGGGAATGCTTATTAAGGAAACGTTTCGCCACACAGTGGTTTCATCAGTCCAATACAAAGCAGAGAGGGGTAAGGAGAGGAAGAGTGAGGTAATCAGTCCCTCAGCCTGGAATCGATGTGTTCAATCCATCACTCTTGTAGAAAGTCACACTTAGATGTACACTTAGAGTGATCATTGCCCAGAATCTAAAAGTTTATATCAAACATGTCCTGAATGATTGCATTTTCTGATTTTTTTCGATACAGATTTGCCAAGATTTATTTAAAGCCACTGAGTACTGTACTGAGTTGTCGTGATTAATATTACATTGTATACCAGGGGTCTGTTTGTCGGTGAAAAATAGTGACAATGTATTTTTTTTATCCTGGTGTTTTTTTATATTTTATTGAGCGTGTTACTGAATAAATATTTTGAGCGAGACTACCTGAGTACCATTCCCTGGCCCTTGTTAAGGGTGTTGATCTACAGATCCTGGGCCTTAGGAAAATGTTCAGATATAGATGGTAGTTATTTTAATACTGCTCTCTATAGGAGTATGTGTGTGTGTGTGTGTGTGTGTGTGTGTGTGTGTGTGTGTGTTGTCTAAGCTTAATTTTTTTAATTTCCATCAAAATACCAAAAATTTAACGATATAGGACAGACAAAAAGCACAGGAGACCGACACCAAACAGGAAAGAGACTACAGAAATATATACCCATCAGAATGGTGGACATTACAGTGACAATAGACAAGAGAAACTCAGCAGCCAAACAAAGACGAAGGCGATGTTTTGAGATTTAAGTTACTTGAATTTTCTTCAAGCATCGCTGAGAGTATAGGAGTGGCGAGCGAGAGCGAGAGCGAGAGAGAGAGAGCGCGAAAGAGCGAGAGAGAGAAACAAGGAAGGTTAATAACTTTCCTGGGTTGCCTAGTTGCCCAAGTCTCCCACTACGAGGTGTGACTATCTCCACGTTTAACCTCAACACGAGGATTGTCGAGTCTTGGTGTGAACACGGAGCTGGCACTGATAGCTCTGACGAACACCTCTCTACTCCCCCTCCCCTCAAACTCGCGGGCTGGTGTTCTGTTATCCAGAACACTACAGAATTGCTTGGCTGGATGGTGCACTGGCCTAGGTGTGCTTGTGGGGGAATTCTAATCTCGGTTCTTGACACCTGCTGTCCCTCGATTACTTAATGAACGGTCACACTATGGC